GGTATCTAAGTGATCAGCAGGACACAGTGAGCCCAGTGTCCTCCTACGACGCCATCTTCCGGAGCATCTCCTGCCCCTAATCTCTTTTTGATGATTTTAAACATATTAGTCTTTCTCTGGTTGCTTTATTATGTCAAATTTCTTGGGAATGACTTCTTTCTTTGTTAGTGGATTTTTTTATTTTTTAGAATAATTTCTTTGTGTGCTTTGAAGTTATTTTTTTCCTTTTTTTTTGATTTAACTTTATTTTTTATTTTTCTAAATTTATATCCAAATTAGTATATGGTGAAGCAATGATTTCAGTAGATTCCTTAATGCACCTTACCCATTTAGCCCACCCCCTTCCCACAACCCCTCCAGCAACGCTCAGTTTGTTCTCCATGTTTATGAGTCCCTCTATTTGTTTTGTCCCCCTTCTTGTTTTTATATTATTTTTGTTTCCCTTCCTTTATGTGCATCTGTTTTTTCTCTTAAAGTCCTCAAATGAGTGAAGTCATATGATTTTTGTCTTTCTCTGACTAATTTCATTTAGCATAATTCCATCCACGTGGATGCAAATGGCAAGATTCCATTCTTTTTGATTGCTGAGTAATACTCCATTGTATATATATACCACATCTTCTTTATCCATCCATTAATGGGCATTGGCTCTTTCCGTACTTTGTCCATTGTTGATAGTGCTATCAACATGGGGGTGCATGTGTCCCTTCGAAACAACACACCTGTATCCCTTGGATAAACAGCACACCTGTATCCTTTGGATAAATACCTAATAGTGCAATTGCTGCATCATAAAGTAGTTCTATTTTTATTTTTGGGGGGAACCTCTATACTGTTTTCCAGAGTGGCTGCACCAGCTTGCATTCCCCCCAATAACACAAAAGAGATCCTTTTTCTCCTTGCCAACATCTGTTGCCTGAGTTGTTAATGTTAGCCATTCTGACAGGTGTAAGGTGGTATCTCATTGTGGTTTTGATTTGTATTTCCCTGATGATGAGTGATGTGGAGCATTTTTTCATGTGTCGGTTGGCCATCTGGATGTCTTCTTTGGAGAAGTGTCTATTCATGTCTTTTGCCCATTTCTTCACTGGATTATTTGTTTTTTTGGGTGTTGAGTTTGATAAGTTCTTTGCATATTTTGGATACTAACCCTTTATCTGATATGTCATTTGCAAATATTGAAATTATTATTAGTGATGGTGATGGAAGCTCTATATTGATGGAGGCAGCTCTGGTGAGCTGCGCTTAAGTGGTACTTCCTTTGTCTACATTTCTCTCTTTTTCTCTGTGTCCACTGTCCCTGTAGGATGGCTCTGAGTTTGCCTCTTGGTAGTCCCCATGGCCCTCAGTTCAGAACCAACTCCTGTAGGGTGGGGCTTTACTCCCCAGGATCAAGCAGATTCAGGCCTTTAGCCAGCTGGGGTTTGGCCAAGTTCACAGTGGCACCATGAACTTTGTTCTTTTCCATTTTGCCCTCTGCCAGTGAACAGCTGCTGGTTGTGACGTTCCTTGGCCTCTGTTCCTGGGTCAGAGAGCAAGGCTGGTTTTGTCCCCTGCCGCTGTGGCACACTGTCAATCATATTCCCTGTAGCATGAGCCCCTAGCACACCACTCTCCAGTCCTTAGGTGGAGCCCAGTGAGCTGATTGTGCTAACCTCCACTCCATACTGCACATTTCTAGTCTATTTCTAATCCACCACAGTGGTCACTTTGTTTAGCATGGTCACATGTTAAAAAATAGACTTTTATTTAGAGCAGTCTTCAGTTCGCCGAAAAATTGATTGGCAGGTACTGAGATTTCCCACATACCCCGTGTCCCCCACATATGCAGTTTCCTCCACTATCAAAAAGCCAGCTGCTGTTTAAACTTCCTGTTCAAATACAATTTCAGGTTGTCAAAGATTCTCCCAGGTGTCAGTTTGGTTATTTTGAAAGGAGTGGTAGTATTTTCTCCATCTACTTACTAACTTACTACACTTCAGTAGGAAAAAAGCAAGTAATACTACTTTGTATTTTGGTTTCAAAAGAATATTGAATAAGGGAGTTAAATTAATTATAATGGTGTTGTTTCTTATGCAAGAAGTATTTAACCACATTTTCTACTGAGTTTATATAAACTCAAAATCGTATTATCATTAGTGTTATCATCTACAATTAGAGCATTTTATGCCAAGCAAAGAGAAGAGCTATAATTTGTAAGAAAAGCATGTTGCAATGGAAATAATAAGAAACATTAAAGAACAAAAGCTTTGTTAATACACAAAATATATCCAAGTGTTTAAGAAACCTTAAAATGCAGCCTATTAACTTACTAACTGGATGTCAGTTCATTGTGAGGACTAAAGTAGAAGTTTAATATATTAGAGAATTATAGAAAGTAGAGGTAACAGAGCGGCAACCAGTTTTAGGTAATATTTCGTCTAATTTATAATCATCGTAAAGAGCACTTCACCAAGCAAATAATCCTTGTTTTGGTCAGATGGGTTTTTTTCATTCACACTATGTCTGTACATCAGATGACTACATCTACCTCCTCAGGTTTGCCCTCTCTGCTATCATTATTAACAGTGGGGTCAGCAGGACCAAAATGGGGACAATTGAGGGAATAAAAAAAGTGAAAGGTATAATAAAGAGACCAAAATGTATGTGCATGGATGGCCAGTTTTGGGCTCATGATACATTCTTCCCATGAATTTCACTGCAGTTTTGGGTAAGATGACTCCCACCCCCCCCATCCCGTTCAAGGGAGGGGCCCATGTTGACGTGCCTGATGCTCAGAGCATCTTGCTAAACACCTGTGATGTGACGAATACGTTATTTTTCAACAATCTGGATAAAAATGCAGTCTTCTATTTTCATCACACAACCTGACTAAATCTGCAGCATGTGAGCATGGCAAGAAGAAACTGCAATAAAAACGGTCAGAGATGAAGTGTGTTTTAAGAGACTAAATTCTCCATTGTAGGTAAATAATGTTTAGAAAGGTAAATCGTTAGATTTTGATATTGATAAAACATTTTTCAAAATTCAAAATAAATAAGAATAATCAATTTTTGACAGGCTCTGAGTGCTTAAAATAATTTTGCTTCCACCATAGCACATGCTATGTGCTTGACACTGACTCCACTGAAACTGAGTTCTAAGCGAATTCATCAATATTAAAGATCATTGTGTGTTGTAAAAAATGATTAAAAAATAAAGTGACATCATCTGTTTTCTCTTCCAAGATTTTATTTAAGTTCAAGTTAGTTAACATGTCCTGCATTATTGGTTTCAGCAGAATGTAGTGATTTATCATTTACATACAACACCCAGAGCTCGTCACAAATGCCCTCCTTGATGCCCTTCACCCATTCGATCCAACCCTCCATATACCTCCCTTCAGCAACCCTCCATTTGTTCTCTATAGTTAAGTCTCTCATGGTGTGCCTCCCTCTCTGTTTTTATTTTATTTTTCCTTCCCTTCCCCTGTGTTCATCTGTTTTCTTTCTTAAATTCCACATATGAGTAAATTCATATGGTATTTGTCTTTCTAAGCATATACTTATTTGCTTAGTATAATACACTCTAGTTCCATCCACGTTGTTGCAAATGACAAGATTTCATTCTTTTTTGGTGGCTGAGTAATGTTCCATTATATACATACACCTCCCATGTTCTTTATCCGTTCATCAGTCAATGGACATTTGGGTTATTGATATAATTTGGCTATTGTTAATAGTGCTGCTGTAAATACTGGGGTGCATGTGCCCCTTCAAATCAGTATTTTTTTGTATCCTTTGAATGAATACCTGGTAGTACAATTGCTGGATCATAGGATAGTTCTATTTTTAACTTTTTGAGGAGCTTCTATGCTGTTTTATAGAGTGTCTGTACCAGTTTGCATTCCCATCAACAGTGTAAGAGGGTTCCCCCTTCTCTGTATCCTTGCTAGCATCTATTGTTTCCTGAGTCGTTAATTTTAGCCATTCTGACAGGTGTGAGGTGGTATCTGGTATCTGGCAGTGGTTTTGATTTGTATTTCTCTGATGATGAGTGATGTTGAGCATTTTTTTCATGTGTCTGTTAGCCATTTGAATGCCTTCTTTGGAGAAATGTCTGTTCATGTCTTCTGCCCATTTCTTCACTGGATTATTTTTGGGAGGTTGAGTTTGATAAGTTATTTATAGACTTTGGATACTAGCCCTTTGTCTTATATGTCATTTGCAAATATCTTCTCCCAGTCTGTAGGTTGCCTTTTAGTTTTGTTGATTATTTCCCTTGGTGTACAGAAGCTTTTTTTCTTGATGAAGTGCCAATAGTTCTTTTTTGCTTTCATGTCCCTTGCCTCTGGAGATGTATCTGGTAAGAAGTTGCTGCGGCCATGATCAAAGAAGTTGCTGCCTATGTTCTCCTCTAGAATTTTGATGGTTTCCTGTCTCACAGTTAGGCCTTTCATCCATTTTGAATTTATTTTTGTGTATGGTGTAAGAAAGTGGTCAAGTTTCATTCTTTTGCTTATTGCCATCCAATTTTCCCAACACCATTTGTTGGAGAGCTTGTCTTCTTTCCATTGGATAGTCTTTCCTGATTTGTTGAAAATGAGCTGACCCTATAGTTGTGGGTCCATTTCTGGGTTCTCTATTCTGATCCATTGATCTATGTGTCTGTTTTTGTGCCAGTACCATACTGTCTTGATGATTACAGCTTTGTAATATAGCTTGAAGTCTGGAATTGTTTTACTTTTCTATTTCAACATGACTTTTTGGTACTCGGGGTTTTTGTGGCTCCACACAAATTTTAGAATTGTTTGTTCTTGCTTTGTGACAAAACGCTGGTGGTATGTTGATAGGGATTGCATTGGATGTACAGATTGCTTTGGGGAGTTTAGACATTTTAACAATATTTGCTCTTCTAATCCATAAGCATGGAAGTTTTCTCCATTTCTTGGTTTCTTCTTCAATGTCTTTGAAATGATGTGATCCATGCAAGTGACTCACATGCTGTTTTTGTACTTGCAGGTTTTAAATCCATTCTACGTGTTCCAAGCCTTTACCCTAACTTTGTGGCTGTCTCAAGGTTACATAGAATACTCTGTGGCCATCATCATCTTGTCTATTATCTCCATTGTCTTAAGTGTGTATGATTTGCGACAGGTAAGAGCTAAAATCACAGTTGGGGGGCGCCTGGGTGGCTCGGTCGGTTAAGCGTCCGACTTCGGCTCAGGTCATGATCTCACGGTCCGTGGGTTCGAGCCCCGCGTCGGGCTCTGTGCTGACAGCTCAGAGCCTGGAGCCCGTTTCAGATTCTGTGTCTCCCTCTCTCTGTGACCTTCCCCTGTTCATGCTCTGTCTCTGTCTCAAAAATAAACGTTAAAAAAAAATTTAAAAAAATCACAGTTGGGTTCTATTTAGCTTAAGGTGCACAAGAAGCAAAGCCTATGGGTTTTCAACTGACAGCAAGGAGTAGCTTTGTGAAACTTAAGTCATAAAGCAAAAAACAAGGGCTTACTAAATGTGAGAGCTCAGGAGGAGATCTTCAGAAATAGCAGGTAGATGTAAATGTCTTTGCAAACCCGGATTTATCGACTGAAGGCTGACCCGCATACAGTGTTCAGAAGGACTCCGAGGCTGTATCTGAGTATGGTGGGAAAGAATGCTTTGATGGATTAATGATGACAACATACCTTTCCATCATTGTTCATCTTATAGCTATTTAAATTTTTTTAAATGTTTTAACTTATTTTTGAGACAGAGACAGAGCATGAACAGGGAAAGGTCAGAAAGAGAGGGAGACACAGAATCTGAAGCAGACTCCAGGCTCCGAGCTGTCAGCACAGAGTCCGACATGGGGCTTGAACTCACAGACTGTGAGATCATGACCTGAGCTGAAGTCAGATGCTTAACCGACTGAGCCACCCAGGCGCCCCATCTTATAGCTATTTAAAGTCTCCCTTTTTAAAAAGAGTATTTTTTTAAAGTTTATTTATTTTGAGAGAGAGCAAGTGAGCATGAGCAGGGAAGGGGAAGAGAGAGGGGAAGAGAGAATTCCAATAAGGCAACATGGGTTTTGATCTCATGAAATGCTAGATCATTACCTGAGTTGAAAACAAGATTCAGACGCAGCTGACTGACTGAGCCATCCAGGTGCCCCAAAATAATCAGTCTTCTAAATGAGATAGCAGTGCATTCTGAAATAGAATTTTGCTGAATATTACTTATAACTCCACAGTCCCTGCAAGTCTCAGCTCCCCACAGTATCTTTCTAGAAAACGTTTGGCTACTTTGCTTAAGAATCATCAGCTTGAAAATCAGGAGGCAACCCCAAAAACGATGTCTCACTGTATTTTTTTATGTTTTTGAAAACTTGACTATGGAATTAGCTTTGTAGAGATGGGGCTGGGGGCTGGGCATTGTTACGGTACACTGTGTCAGCCTGTCAACTCTACCGCACTGTTGAAACCGCCTAGTCTCAAGTTTCATCCTTCACCTCCAGGGAAAAAAACTAAGATCCAGGGAGCTTGTTCCAAATCAGAGTGTGGTTTTGTGACAGAGTCAGAGCTTCTGGCTCCTCATAAAATGAAACTCTGCCACATGTGCGATATTTCCTTAGCATAAGGCACTTTCCAAAGTAGTGTCACAGCTGGGAATGAAAGTCAAACACAAGTGTTGAGAAGGGAGATGAGTTCTCGATGTCCACACAGTGAGCTCTGGGCACAAGTCAGAAAGGCAGACGTGGGCCTTTACATAAGCCTAACTGAAAGGGAGCTTTCATTCCTATTCCATTTCAGTGGCTCAACAATATTAAATCTAATATCGGCTCGTTATCTGGTTTTAGATCCTACAAATTTTGAGTTATGAAGTCTTTGATGAGAAATGAAAGAAAGACAATAGATATGTAAAGAGTTAGGAAACAGGATCTAAAAATGAAAAGTTAGATGAATGGAGATACTTTGAGCTGGAGAGCAGGCTACTAGGACTTTGTTTTGTTTCTGATTTTCTGCCTTTTTAAACAGTGAGTACCTAGGTGTGTTTTTTCACAAACTAATTTATATCACAAAGATGTTAAGAGTGACCAGCAACTTGCCTGGTTGCCAAGGCCTGGGGGGGGGGGGGAGTAACTGTCTTTCTGGTGAACTCTGGGCCTTTGAGCAAAAGCATGACCATAGACACCAAGACAATAAAGATCTGACTATTCTGCTGAGTCTCAATAGAAAAGTAGAGTGTCCTAAGCTTTTACCTTAGTCGTTTGATAAAGGTATGTAATGTGAAGCCCGCAGATAGAATTTCTAGTTTCTGGGTTTTGAGAAATCTTTCCTTAATAGAATATCTGATTTGATACGTGCAAGCCATTCATACACTTTCTGGCTTAAGTCACACGTCAGTGAATACAGCCCTTCTCGCATGTCATTCCTTCCAATGGGGCTACATCTACGCACAGTCACTCGGATATATCGTCATGAACCATCCAAATGTTCTCAGGAAAAACACAGAACTCTCTGAGGCCTTTTGGGAGGGAGATCTTATCTAGTCAGATTGAAAACCTCCCCCTTACCTCTCCTGTTTGTGTTACTTGGTGCTGTTATAATCAGTTTCCTCATCTGTAGAAGGTGTGTATGTGTGTGGGCACGTGAGTGTGTGTTGGTGTTAGAGTTGAGCGAATTAAATGAAACAATCACTTTGAATACTTATATTTCTGGTACCTAGTAGGCACTTAGTAAAATGTTAGTTCTTGTTATCATTGATATTGTTGCTGTTTTTATTATTAAAAGTTAGGGAAAGTTGGCAAGGGACAGATGGGAGGGGGAGGGGGTACAGAGATTAAAGAGAACAGGAGGCAGCATGGGACCATCGGGACAGGGCTGGTAACCACCGCTGGTTCACTCATATGAGCCCGAGGACTCTGTTTTCCTTGGGCTCACTTTCCTCAGCTATATACATGGTGGAGGTTATACCCTACTTTTTTAGGTCTCACCATTTTAGGATTCTATCATTTTGCCAGGGCCACTGACAAGGAATGAAAAAAAGCCCTTGAAAACTTTAGAACGCTAGTAAGAAATTTTCTGGCCACTGGAAATCTGAGAGCATGTGCTGCAAACTGGAGTTAATTCCTATTGGACCCTAATAGTGTTCAGTTGGACTTTAGTCCTAAACTACTCAAGTCAGGATGTGTATGAAGAATAGAAACCTGTCTAAATTACCCTAATCACCAAAGGGATATGTATTATAAATATGTACCAGTAGCTCATAGGACCCAAAGACATGAAGTACAGTGGACTTTAATGGAGCCTGTACCCATGAACTTGGGTTACTCTCTCCAGCCTCCTATTCCCTGACAAGCATGAAAGTAAGTACACATGTTTTGGGGCAAGCACTGCAACCCCCCTCCTCTTAGAACTCTGGCAGCCTGCAACTAGTTTGCTCTAGGTGGCTCTCTCTTTCCACTGGCACACATAGTTGGAACAGGGGGTATCTGACCCAGCGGAAGCCAGTCCATCAGCAGGAATCATGCCCATATATCTTTTAGCCTGGGATCCAAGCCTAAGGACTTGAAGCTGTCTGTCATGCTCTGTCAGGAATGTGATGTGAAAAGTGATGCTAGGACCAGGGTGGCAGCCCTTGATCCTTGTGTGTGGACAAGCAGAGAAAAAAACTTGCACAAAGAACGAACCAAATACACAGTGAGACACAGAGGTGAGCCATACGGAGCCCAGCAGAAAGGGAGAGGGCAGAGAGACAGAGAGCAAACGAATAACCTGCTCTTGATAGCATTTCCTGCTCCTGTTTGGAGCCCTTGGGAGCTCTGGCTTCACTTCCCACTTTCGGTTAGTGAGATGTCCCTGCATCTTCACAATTTCTCATCTGCTTAAACCAGTTTAACCAATTTCTGTTGCCTGTAATCAATGGGTCCCAAGTAAATGTGGTGCTACCACTTGATGTGTTACACCCCTTACAATGTTTCCACATATTTCCCCTGACTTAAATATATACTTCCCATCTACATGTTTATGACAAATTTCAGTCTCTCCTCAAGTTCCTTTACACTATTTTTTTTTTCATTTGGAACATAGGTATAACTGTCTTTAAGGAAACGGAAAAGAAATATAGAGATTCCTGTGTGAGAGTTGGGAAGGGTTACAGAGAAAACAGGTTTGATTCAATACTCTAGAGGGCAATGTTTCAGTGAGAGAATTAGTCAAGATTCCTAAGCTCCTGACCCATTAAGTCAAAATATCCAAGGTAACAAGAGGAATCTGTGCTTTTTCACAGTTTCATAACAGGTGCTTGTCATGCATTCTGAAAGCTTAAGAGCTGTTGTTCCAGAGGAATCCACCAAAAGACAAATTCAAGCACTAAGATCCCCAATACATTTATTTATTTATGTCATCATTAGCTGAATGTCTATTTCATTTTTTCTCCTCTATAAGATGCAGAGAAATACAAGTTTATGTGGAGATTTACTTATGTATTTATTAATTTGTTTTAATAAAACAGGAACATACTTTGTACATTAATCTGGAACTTGCATTTGTCACTTTACAATAAATATAACGGCCATCTACCACGTAAATAAATAATTCTAGATCACGTTTAAAAATAACGGTGTGAAATTCCATGGTATATCATAATTTGTTCAGCCATTCGTTTATTTCTAGAAAATAAGGGGCTTCCTTTCCAATTTTTGCCACCACAGGTATGCTGAATTACACACAACTACAATATAGATGTGTCCTTACATATGAGTGTTTGCATTTGTTTTTAGTAAAATAATCAAAAGCCAGGTTGCTGAATCAAAAGATATGTATATTTTGGATGTTAATAGATCCTGCGATAGTTATTATTTTCTTAAATAAAATAACGGCAACATATGAGAGTATCCATTTCTCCAGATCCTCACCAGTGTTATATATTGATGTTTAAATTTTTTTCAGTCTAATGTGTTTTTAAAAAATTGTGTCCCAATGATGTTTTAATTTATATTCCACTAATTATTGGTGAGATTAGATACACTTTCCTCCAATAGATATATGCGTTTTTGTTTTCTATTTATTCTCTTTATATATCCATCATCCACGTGGAAAAGTTTTATTTCTTAGTCTATCATTTTTCCTCTGACTTGACTTTTGTCAGATATTTTAAAATGTGTGCAGTCAAATATGTTTCTCTTTTTCTGGGTTTCTGCGTTTCTTGTTTTGCTTCTCAAGTTCTCTTCTAAAAGTAGGCATGCTCTGTTCTATTTGTAATTTTCTCAATATTTATTTTAAAATCTTTAATGAATCTTAAATATTCAGGTTCTACATCTTAAAATCCCTACATGTCTTTGTTTAAAATAGTAACTGGCTTGGGAACTTCACTTGATGGCAGAACTGCAAAAGCTTTAACAAGGAGACATTAATTCCATTAGCAGTTAATATTTGGGTTTTTTTTTTAAGTTTTATTGATTTATTTTGAGAGAGAGACAGTGTGAGGGGGGAGGGACAGAGAGAGAGAAATACAGAGAATCCCAAGCAGAGTCTAAGCTGTCAGCACAGAGCTTGATGGGGCACTTGAACCCACAAAACCGTGACATCATAACCTGAGCCGAAACCAAGAGTCGGACTGTTAACTGACTGAGCCACCCAGGTGCCCTTGCAGTTAATATTTGTTAACAAAAGCTTATCAGACCCAAACTCTAAGGGATCTTGTAACATTATACAAAATGGGCCAGTTTCCTGAAACTATTTTTGCAGTTTAAATCACAAATGCTCACCAATCAATATTTCTTTAGCACAATTTGTAACGGGCTCCCCCCGTCTGTGACAGATGTGCTTGTGTGAGGCATGGGAGCCCCTAAAATGATACGCATGTGGTTGTGGTGTCCTCCCACCACCTGAGACGGAGGGATGGGGACAATCAGGGAGGTGAAGTGACTTGCTCAGTAATAGTGGCTATAGATCCCAGCCCCGGGTTTCCTGATTCTACATCAAGTACTTCACACTGTCCCACGGAGCAAAATCTCAAAGAGACCTATGAGTTTCCTTGCAGCAGTAAACGATTGATAATTTTATTATGAAAATATTTGGGAAAGGGGCTGCTGGAAATGGAAGGAGCATCTACCGTCATTTATAAGTCATGCTAAAGAAATAACAGCTTTTGAAAATTGCAGGAGGGGAGGTGTTTGCAGGAGTGGAATAAACTATCTTTCTGCATCTGCTGTGGCCCCAAATCATGCAGCAGAGAGGCACCTTGCCTACGCCAAGAAACACCCTCGGCAGCCCCTTTCTAACAAGTTTGGTGCAGGTATGAGTGTAAATTGAGCTGGCACTCAACTGTATTTACACTGAGCCATGTTGCATACTCTATTGCTGGCTCCACAGGCGGCCGCTAGACACAGCACTGAGAGTATCTGACCCATGGTGCCTTGCCTTTCGCCATCACTGAGCTGGGCTCAAAAGACACCTGAGTTAGTGCCCTCATTACTCATCTCTGGAGGAAATCCAGCCACAGCAAACACAAGGACACACAGCAACAGATGCCGGAATAATAACAATATGCAAATTAGTCTTGGAAACTGATCCTGGTCCCACTAAACCGGGACTGGAGAAACCAGAGGGGGCCTAATGAAAATCAGGCAGCGAGGTTCCAAATCACGGCAAGCATCATAGCACCTGCTTTCTCCTAGCTGGTTGGTTGTCATAGAAACCTGTGTTTGTAGAGTTTCTGGGTACATTAGCTCAGAGAGGAGGCTTATATTATCCTTCTCCAGTGTTGTTGGGAGACGTGAAATAATTCAGTTCTATTAAGTAAATATTTGCTGAGGGCCTACTATGTGACAGACTCCAGGGGTACATAGATGAGTGTTTGGCTCTTTGAACCACCTGCTTCACACAGGAGACCTGACAAGAAAACGGCTGTAATGGAATTGGTCATACACTAATACAGGCGGAAACACAGGGAGCAGAACAATGAATTCTTTCTGAGATGTTAGAGACTTATGGAGTGGAGATGACGTTTGAGCCAGACTTTATGTGAAGGATTAGGAGTTTGCTGGTAGAAAACCTGGGTGAGCATTCCAGGTAATAGCTTGAACGAAGGCATGGAAGCATGGCAGGTTTTGCAGAATGCTAAACCTGATGAATAAATCCTGCTTGATGCCATAATGATTTTTGAGAGAGCATTTTGAACTTATACTTCGCCACTTCCAAATGTGTTGATTATCATCCTCTTAAGCTAGGGTGAAATTCTCATGGCAGTGACTAGAAGAGTTTGCTAAGCAAGAAAGTAACTTAAAGAAATTTATAACAAAGGAAGGTTATTTATCTTCTTAAAGGAAAAAAGCTATTTTCAAGCACTTTAGGGGAACATATTCATCAACAGAAAAGGCTTTAGAGTCAGATAAACCCAGATTTTACTGTCAATCTTTTTTTTTTTTAAATTTTTTTCAACATTTATTTATTTTTGGGACAGAGAGAGACAGAGCATGAACGGGGGAGGGGCAGAGAGAGAGGGAGACACAGAATCGGAAACAGGCTCCAGGCTCTGGGCCATCAGCCCAGAGCCTGACGCGGGGCTGAAGTCGGACGCTCAACCGACTGCGCCACCCAGGCGCCCCGCAATCTTAATACTTAGTAAATGAAGACAAGTTACTTTAACATTTCCAAGACACTGGCTTGTTTTTGTTTTTTGTTTTTTGTTTCTTTTTGGTCGTTTTATTTTGCTATATGTACATTGGAGACAATAATATCATCATAGGATTATTTTGAGGAGAAAAAAAAATCAAGCAATACATTTCAAGTGCTTACAACAGTGCCTGGCACGTAGTAGTTGCTTACTGTTTTAAACTGTCTAATAATAATAATACTGTGAGCCATTTATAAACCCCAGGTTATTTCTTCTATGAAGTCTTAGGGGCTTTGACTAAATCTCTGATATGCAAAACATATCCGTATCAGACATGTTGAGTTTTGAAGGAGCTTGAAAATGATTCAATTCAATGTCATTTGTTTACAGAAAGAACAAGTAACATAAAGTGAAATTTCTTACATACAGGTACATGGCTGGTTAGTGGGTAAACTTGACCCACGACTCAGGAGTCCTGAATGAATCCAGTGTTCTTGTCCCAGAACCACGATGACTTTCTCGCTATTACCCATCAGTAAAATGGATGCCCCAATAGGCAAGCCTCAGAAAGTCAAGTTAGGGCAATGACTATGTACCTAACAAACAGCAGTACCATTTCTTCCACTCTGTTGGTCCAAATGATTGAAGTGTTGCCTTTCCTAAAAAAAAAAAAAAAATGGAGTAAATAAGAAATTGTTCTGTATAAATAAAAACACCAAATTTATTAATTTCTCTCAAGAGGAAAATTGTGTAATTGTGTGTAATGTTTATCTAGTGACATTGGCTACCTTAAAAATCATCAAGAGGACAGATAAAAATAATTTACCGTACCATCTAAAAGGAAAGTTGTATATTTGAATTAGGTTAAGCTATGTTTAAAGCACTGTTGACGGTATTCAGATCTCTTCTACTTAGAAGTATCCAAGTAAGTGACGTCCATACAGAAGGAGGCAGTGCCTTCCAGGGATGCCCCTGCCAATGGGGTCGCCTACAGTCAGTGTATGGAACTGTGTGGACAATTTGCCCTCACTCTTCTGCCTTCCTGTCTCCTGAGTTATCCCAATAGATGCTGCCTTCGCTTCTCCAGGCTGCTTCCATTTCCTCCACTTAGCACAGGGTGGTATCTCAGTGAATTCCATCCTAAGCAAATCTTCCAAGGGGATGCATTAGACAAAACAATGCTGTTTTTCCAACAGCAACTTTCTTATTAATCATTAACCCTTGCTGAGCTCTTACCATTGTAATGAGTAATATCCAAAGGGATAACTAAGAGAAGCATTACTTAAATTTTGAAAACCCTCTAGAAGAGCTACTGTTAATATCTCCACTTTCAGATCAGGAAAAGGGAGTTAACTAAGCTGAATAATGCCTAAGGGGAAGCACCAGGGTTCTGGAGCATCGTGGCTTCAGTCTCCAGACTGACCCAATGGGAAAATCCACCAGTTTGTAAAAGAGGGGATAAAATTCCACGTAAAATCAAAACATAACTCAAATATTCCCAGGCTTTTACAATGGAAAGATCAAATTCATTTTTGTTGTTTTATAGACAGGGAAACGGGTACCGAGAGGGAACCTAATCTGTTCATGGTCTTGTTCTTCCCTTGTGTCATCGTGCGCCCTTAAGAAGTACAACCTCGGGGACTTAGCGTTGGTCCTTGGGGACAGTGGTTGTGCATTATGTGTCCTGGAATTGAAATAGCACTAAACTAATTACCATATTTGTTGCTATAAGTCGGGGGTTGGCTGCGGTAGGGATTGGGGCAGGGAAGCAGAAATGCTAAAGTAGAGCTTGAGCCTTTGCCCAAGGAGGTTTTGCTGTGTGACAGGCTTGGTATTTACAGTATTGAGATCATGTGGTTTTCCGGTTATGGACTATCTGATACTTAAACGTTGACTTTGAATTGGTAGCAATCAGTGAAGCTGCACAACCTTGTGGAGGATCACAATAAAGTCCAGGTTACAGTCATGGTAAAGGACAAAGGTACGTGATATATTCTGCCATCTTCAGCATCCTGATATTTCAGAGTGGAATCAGTCCCATTTGTTATTGATTATTAGTTGAGGAGAAAACCTTTTCTGATGAAACCCAGGACGGAGGCTAAAGTAAGGTAAATAAGACTTTTAAGATGACAAACTTAAGGAGGAAAGGTCAGGCAAACGCTGACCTGCTTTTCCAGGACCCAGACGGTGAGCACCTCACTGAATTTTGTACCCTGAGTACCTTGCATGCCTCCTCCTGATTGAACCATTTTGACCCAGTGTCTGAGTCGCTTCCAACTCCCTCTGCCTTCCCATATTTCACTCACTGGAATGTTACTGGGTAAGCTTTCTTGAGGCGTTTTGATTTCCCCAACTACTGATCCCAAACAGACCTTGAATTCTAACAGCTTCAATCTGTTATCCAGAATCCAGACCCGAAGAATGCTTGTAAATGGCTGACTGGACTCAGTATTTGCTCTGACTTACCCTGGGTTGGGGTGGCCATGGCTCTCTGTAAGGAGCAGGGAGCTGCAGCCCAGAGTAGCAGAAACTGGCTGGGTGGTTCATCCCAACAAGTGCCCTCCTCCCAGTTCTCATCCCAGGGCTCATCCGAGTGCTCATCCCAACAAGTGCCCTCCTCAATGCCCATCACCCACTTTCCCCTCCCCTGCAACCCCCATCAACCCTCAGTTTGTTCTCAGTATTTAAGAGTCTCTTGTGGTTTGCCTCCCTCCCTCTCTGTAACTTTTTTATTTTTTTCCCCTTCCCCCATTCTTAAGTAAAAACAGGAAAAGGTCAGCCAGTCACGGGAACTTTGTTGTGTAGGTTTGCAGAAGCTGGAATCCCATCTCTTGGTTCCTGGGGATACTCTTATTCTTCCAGGAAAAACTTCATTGCCATGTGATGCTATCCTGATTGATGGAAGCTGTGTGGTGACTGAAGGCATGCTCACAGGTAGGCCATTGCCATGGAGCTGCTTCTTTCCTGTCCAACATCTCGGCCAAGAGCAAAGCAGATCAACATAGCCTTACCTGCCTGATAGTAAGATATTGAAAGATAGGTGAGGTAGACACGGTTAGGCTATTCATGCAGGTGAAGACTCCATAAATGCAAACGGGATAAAATGTATCCCGTTTATATAATGTATACCCGTAATATAAGAATCAAATGATAATAAATACAAAATTAGAAGAAAAGTCTAATATATGTGATTGGTTAATTTCCTGATGCGTGGGGTGAATAAGATCCTTTGGTTCAGAGGACGGTGAGAGAGTTAGACTACTTGATGCACGATGTCTTCATAAACATGAGCATGGTTTACACACCTATCCAAACAAAACACAACCAGAAACCACCAACTCTTATAATTGGCAGGATGCAGAGATTTTATACAGCCCTGCTCTCTGTAGATGGAAAACGGAGCCCCAGTCTTTGCTGGAAGAGTATTGAGTTGAACCTTCAGGAAAGTCGGTGTAACATTCTATTCTTTAGAATTGTGTTTCCAGTTGATCCGACCAAGCAGAAAGCCAGTTTTCTTGTAACAACGGTTTGAACTGTCGTCCTTGCTCTCATTTGCGCTTTGTAAAGTTCACTTGAATTTGTGTAATTAGTAAGGCACTATTTATAAAATATTCTTTAGGCAAAACCAAAACACATGGGACATCATGATGAGAGAAGAAACTATACAACAACACAAAAATAGAAAGTGTGTGTCTTTCGTGCTTACAAATTGTTGTATTTTTCTGTTCCCAAGTTGCTAAAGACAGGAAACACACACACACACACACCTTTTTAATATCACCTAAATGTAAAGAGAACCATCGATTCCTAAATTGTTCAACACAAGCAGATTTCACATTAAAAATGGGTCTGCTTAATTTAAAATTGAGACAAGGAAATGTAGTAAACATAACTATGCTCGGTATAATTACAAAATGCCCCTTTAGTGTGTTGAAATCTAACTGCCTTATAATGATAGTGATGAGGATTTGCATACTGATGATATCTTTCATCCGGAATGTTGCCATAGCACCCAACGTGCAAACCTCAAGCCCAAGAAAAACTGGCCTCCTAAACCAAAGACAGCAACTGTCTCACATTTCCCAGCAGCCTGCCAGTGAAGAATGGCTTCTCTCATTGGTGACAGAGCATGGCTGTGAGAAAACAGGGAAGGAGAGATCACAGTGTTTACTCCGCTGGGTCTACTGACTGGGATGCTTGGTTCCTGCCTTCTGAGGAAAACTCAGAGAAAGAAATGGTAGAGATGGCAAACAAAGCTGCCTTTCAATGTGCAAAACTGACCTAAAATGATCTTAAGTAGTGAGTGGCTTTTCTTAGGTCTACTTCTAGAAAAAGAAGGTCACCAGCATTAATATCTGTGTAAACTATGTACTGGTAAAAATCCGTTTTAGAGACAGACACATAAAACAGAAATATATTTCTTTCTCATTGTTTTCTTTGGAAAGATCTAAGACCATCATACTCTAAATACTTTATTACATGGTCTACATAGATCTGCCCACTCACGTATACATTTGCAAAAAGGATCCTGATTGAACAATAAGATTATGCTTAGATTCCTGAAACTGCATATGTCTTCCTCGAGCATTTGTCCAAGAATGTGACTCAGGTTTTTTTGTTTGTTTGTTTGGGTTTTTTTTTTTTTTTTGTCCCATGTGCAAACCAGTCTTTCGTATATATAGAAGTCTTTATTTAGAAGAGAAATAGCAAATACTCCAAACATCTTTAGAGTAATGAATGTTTTATAAATAATTTTTATATCTCACTTCATCATAGGATAAACAAATTAGGAATTATTATAATACCCAATTTACAAATGAGGAAATGCAGGTGAGAAGGGACCAGACTGCCCAGCTAGCCAGTATCAGGGCTGGAGGTGGTATTTTTTGCTCCCAGACGTGAGGGGTCACCGGATTGAGGAGGAAGCAGATTCTAAGAGGGGTAGAGCTGACATTCCTTGTGCCTCCTCATCTTTTTCTCTCCACTGGGTAGTCTTGCCCATAACACACATCCATTGTAGGGTCTTCTTCATCCTCCTCTCCTTAGCCTCGTCCTACTGCCATAAGCTCAACTATGCAAGAAACGTAATCGTGTAACTACACTTACTTTTTAATTTTTCCTCCAAATCTTGCCATCCTTGAAAGTAAGCAGTGTTGCCAAGTATCTGATCCAAGTCAGACAGTTGTCTCCACCAGCTGGCAGGTCTCCTGACTCAAGTCTGGCTACTTGAAGTTGTGCAAGGCACTGGGGAGGTGGGTCTGGTCTAGGGCAGCCCTCCTTTCTGTTGCTTCCACTCTGCTCTGGGCTTGAAAAATGTCCCCGGCCTATCTCCCTGTAAAAGGAAGCCTACTGATGCCTCTTGCTCTGTTTTCACAAACTTCTAGGGTCTTTTCCTTACCTTACTTTTGTGCCGGCCCCTTCTCTCAAGTACACACAACATCTAAGCTTCCTTTGGATTTTCTTCCAACTCCCAATCTAGGGATTTTTATGTAGCTAGAAAAGTAGTGGAAGGAAGGCAGGTGAACGGGAGAGCTTTGTTCTTATTCTCATGTAGTCTCTAAAATTCATGGTCAAACTTACGAATGATGTGTAAAACCCAGAAGCCAGCTATCAACTTCTGTATCCTTTCTGCCTCTGGAAGCAATGGGCTCCTTCAAGATCTAGCTCCTCACAAAGTGGTCAAGAGGCCAAAGGGAATACTGTGGGGGAAATTATGTTAATGCCTGGAAACTTTCTTTTGGCACAAAAGCTAATTTTTCTTATTTCTTATATGTATTAGGCACTGTGCTAATATTTTACATATATTATTTCATTCAACCTATGACTCTATAAGGTGGGAGAATCTGAGGGCCAGAAAGGATAAGTAATTGGCCTAAAGTCACACAGCTTAAAAGTGGTAGAGTTGCTATTTGGATTCATTTGTTTATTCATTCATTCATTCCACAAATGTATATTAGCTCCTATTCCAGAATGCTCTACTATGTGCTAGGGATACAACAGTGAACGAGGCAGATAATATTCTGTCCTCATAGAGGTGATGTTCTAGTGGGGACAAAGGAAACATGAAAGTAGGTAAATGACATGAATTTCCAATGCTTATAAATTCTATGAAGAAGATAAAACACTCAAACCCAGGCCTTTTGACCTGGGAGCCTATGCTTGAAACTACTGCTCCCTCATTCTCTTAGAGGTGATTATGGCGGAGAGTGGCAGGATTCATTCACTCTGCCACAATCCCCTCCTTCTCCCTCTACTCATAGAATCAACGATGTATTTAAAACGTGTGTGTACGGTGGGGGGAAGTATGCAGAGATCCCAGTTGGGTACACAGAAATTTTCCTAAGTGGTGATTTCCCATTTACATCCTGTCCGACAAGTTTATAATGAGTTAATAAGTCTTTTCCCTCTTCCCTTTTCCTTTTCTCCAGTCTCTCACTTCTCCTTTTCTTTCAGTTATTCATTTGCCCATCCACTTATTCAGTAAAGGTTCAGAAATGCCTCCTCTGCGCCAGGCACTGTGTTGTGTGCTGGAGTCACCAAGACAAATGAGAGATGGCCACTGCCCTTACACAGCTCACAGTCTAATGGCCTCAGAAGTAAGAACAAAGAATGGCATGGCATTTCAAACACTGCTTCCATGCAGAGGCACTGGCTCACTGGGGACAAGGGAGAGAATCCCGCTTCACAGCACCAGGACTTCCGGGTCCTAGAAGCCAGGTGAAGTGGATGATGAATGTTTTTCCTTGTGAAACACTCTCCGGGCTACTTAGAACTCCATAGATTTGTAGGCAAATTGCCCTTTCTTGAGATTCCAAGAAAGGCCAAGCATGAGGCTCCTTATTAATATGTGAGCACTGTAAAAGAGACTTGAAAGTCATTTCTGTGTAAAATCATATCTGATTTCAATGCTATCTTTGGAACATTATCTCCAAATGGCTTCCATCCCTGGTTGATTGAATGTCTGCCTGCCACGAATGTCATTGGTTGTGTGTGCAGAAACTATCCACTAATATTAGTCTATGAATATATAATGGTTAATATTCAGTGATTCATAGGCAGAAAAACATTAGAAATTATCTCTAAGTATCTGCTTTCACAAAGGTAGATTTCAAAACAATGTGGTATGATGATTTGTCAAAATGTCCTATCCCTTTTCCAAAGCCACTTAGAACACAAGTGGTAAATCCAAACAAAGGCTAAATATCAAACAAAGGCTAAATATCATAATTTTTAAAGACAATGAGTTAGGGACAATGCCTGGCTAAAGGAATTTCCTGAGATTATTCAAGATCACTAATAAAAATTGTATGGCTTCTTGCACCTTAGGGTATAAAAAATGCACCATGTAGAAAACTAGTTTTGAAAAGCCAATCATAGGAAAACCTGGGCAATTGTTTTTATTCAGTTCATCCAGGCATTCAGCAAAAATAAGTCTTTTCAACCTATCACATACCAGCAAGGAAAATGAGGAATATAAAAAGTTATATATGTCAAAGTCCTTGCCACCAGTTATTACCTAGGAGAGATAGAACCTAGATTTTGTAACTATAATCAGTAGAATACTATTTCCAAATTAGAAATATGACATGTTATTTTGCTAATTGAACATTTAGCAAAAGACTGATGGAATTTTAAGTTCATTCTAATGCTTTTTAAATCTGGGAGTGAGGAAGTTATTAGCACTTTTATTTTTTATCTCTGAAATGTATCCTTTTGAACTCTGAGCTAATTTTCTTTGTATCTTAAATACCCTGTCTTCCCACCATCAGGGGAAGTAGAGGAATGGTACCATCAAAGAATACATATATATATGTATAACAGGATATGCAAGTGGCCTAGATTAGCTGGAGTGTGTAGGAAAAAGAGCCAGTGATGCTCAGATTGTGGTGGCTTTGAAAATCTACCAAAAGAGTTTGCACTTGAGACCCCTCCAAAACTTACCCTATGTATCTCTTCATCCGGCTATTTACCTATATTCTTTACCAGATCTTTTAACAAACTGGTAAATGTAAGTATTTCCTTGGGTTCTATAAGCTGCTCTAGCAAATTAATTGAACCCAAGAAGGGGATTATGGGAACCTCGGATTTATTAGTCAGAAGCACAGTTGACAATGTGGATTTGCAATTAGCATCTGAGGTGGCATGGGAGCAGTCCTGTGGGACTGAGTCCTTAACCTGTGGGATCTGATGCTATATCTAGGTAGACAGTGTCAGAATTGAATTGAATTGAATTGAGTTGAATTGAATTGAATTGTAGGACAACCAGCTAGTGTCACGGAATTGCTCGTTGTGGGAAAAACCCCACCCATACGGCATCAAGAGTGTGTGAGTGCAGTAGTAGCCTCATAGCAAAGGAGACACATAGGAGGAAGGACTGGAGGTCTTTTCCAACTCAAGAGGTCAAGGCATATTGTGGGTGAGATACTTTTTCACAAAAAAGAAATATTAGTTCTACCATAGACTCAAATTATTATTATTGAAATGGTTTTCATGTCAAGGAGCTAAACAATTATAGGTAATCCATTGGTAAAGCAGCCACCACTAGATAGTGATTGCTAGTGAAGCCCTTGGGACCCAAACGCAAGCGTCCAAGAGTTACTTGGTGAGACATACTCATGGAGAAAAGCAGTAGGAATTGGGGAATCAGACCATGAGAGGGCAGAGCACGGGAAGAGGAGGAATCAAAGGTGATTCCGAGACTGTAAACCTGTCACTCAGCAAAAGGATGATACCACAAAGAAAAAGTCAGGAGGATGTTTAGTGGTAAAAATATTAGTACGGAGGTGCCTGGATGGCTCAGTCAGTTAAGCATCCGACTATTGATTGTGGCTCAGGTCATGATCTCCCGGTTTGTGAGTTCAAGGCCCGCATTGGGCTTTCAGCGCAGAGCCTGTTTGGGATTCTCTCTCTCCTTCTCCCTCTGACCCTCCCCCACTCTATCTCTCAAAAATAAGTAAAATAAAAATTAAACAAAATATTAGTATGGATTTTAGGTATGTGGACTTAGGGATGCTAGTGGGATACCCAGGTTGGGATGAACAGCCCACCATTGGGAAACAGAACAAAAGCACAGGAGAGAGGAAATGAAGATTAGACATTATCGATCTAGCTATTTAATTAATTGTTAATTAACACTTTAATTGTTAATTAATTAATTATGTATTAATGAGAATGGAGCTGAGATCATCTAGAAAGAAAAAAGAGAGGCCCTGTCTTGTTATATTGGTTTTTATCTTTCACTGCAAGCTCCACAAAGATCATGAAGAACATTTAGGAGGTTTATGAAGGCATAATTTCTCATTCATCTCTGTACTTCTAGGACTGCTTACCTCTACCCTTACACTCAATGTCCCAAACATTCTCAACCATTTTTTTTTTATTTTTTTTTTTCAACGTTTATTTATTTTTGGGACAGAGAGAGACAGAGCATGAACGGGGGAGGGGCAGAGAGAGGGAGACACAGAATCGGAAACAGGTTCCAGGCTCTGAGCCATCAGCCCAGAACCCGACGCGGGGCTCGAACTCCCGGACCGCGAGATCGTGACCTGGCTGAAGTCGGACGCTTAACCGACTGCGCCACCCAGGCGCCCCTTTTCTCAACCATTTTTAGTGCCCAGGGCACAGCATGATCTTTCTCTCACTTCTTCCAAGAACAATTTCCTTTCCTCCTTGATCTAGTTGGCCTCATTTCCTTTTGAGTTGTCATTTATTAGTTGTTCTGGAAATGTTTCCTGGTCCTCTGTTTGGGTTAGATCTTCAGATCACTCAGTAATACTACCCAAATCCTTACTTTATTGTACTTTAATCATTTATTTACTGCTATTTACTGGCTTGACTCTCTGGGCTTTCTGAGGGCAGGATTTCTGTCTTGTTCATTATTTTAAGCACCTAGAACAGTGCCTGGCACAAAATAAGCACTTAAAAATATTTGTCAAGTGAATGGATGAATGGGTTGATAAACAAATAAACGAAAGGCAAATAACAATAGCTATATACTTGCTTTATAGCTCCTTAATTACCTAGCATACATTTGGGCTTAAAGAACACTTGAGGGGACAATTAGGTGACAACTATCTTTGTTAAAATGGCCTGCTTTTTAAATTACAACAGTAAACCATGCAGACCAGGTATGGAAAATATAGGTGGACCTTAAATAAATATGTAAAATATAACCAAGTATACCACTGCTTGCTTCGCCAGCATCCTTGAGAAATCATCTGGCCCAGGAAATGGGCATTAAGACCTGAATAGCTATGGTTTGTATACTTTCTCAAAAGTGTCAAGCACCAGCTCTGAATAACTACCTGAGTTCACACAGAATCAACAAAATACAATCTTCTTTAGGAGAAAGCATACCTGTCACAAAGACGCCACTGCCCCATACGGAGAACACCGTGGCCTGGAAATCCCACAGCTTGGAGGACTATCGGAAACATGTCCTTTTCTGCGGGACAGAAGTTATCCAGGTCAAGCCGTCTGGGCAGGGGCCAGTGAGAGCAGTTGTTTTGCGAACAGGTTAGTAGATTCCACCTATGTAAATGTAGTCCCTGCTTAGAGGTGGGGGAGTTGGATTGGGGAAATTTGGTTTAGGATTATGGAGTGTGCCACCTTCTGGTAATAACAGTCATACTTGTTTCTAGTCAGATCCTTATTTATTCTAAGTTGCCACCATTTCCAACCTCACTGGTTCATTGTTAAAACCCTTGTCTAAGATGAAATACATTGATGATACAGAGATGAAATACATTGCTTCAAAGGCAAGACTGTGTTCTTGTTTGTTTGTTTTTTATGTCTTTCCTTTTCCCTCTATACCAACTCTAAGTGATTCCCAAGAAAAAAGCTCCAACCATTATCACTTGAGGACTTTCTCCTTTCAAACTGCTGCTTGCTGGGCTGTTATTTCCAGGTCCCTGCTGGATGCCTCCCTCTGGGTTCCCTACAGACACTTCAAAGTCAAGGCATCGAAAGGACTTATCCTCCTCTTTCTGTCGACAGCATCACCATCTAGCCGGTCTGTCCACATCACCTTTAGCTTCCCACTTTCTCCCGTACCAAGTAGGACACCACATCCTGTCAATTCTACAAATACCTCCTGAGTCTTGTCTCCCTTTCCTTCATCCCCACAGTTGGTGTTTTGTCCAGGCCTTTCATCATCTCCTGTCTAACCATTGCAACAGAAATATTCTCTTGACTGTTCCCTTTCAGCTTTTGCCTCAAATACTTTGCCTTGTCTTTTGTTCCACCTCCCCCTGGATCTGCCACCAAGTCATATTTCTAAAGCAGATTTTGAAGCAGTTTACACACACCATGCTCAAAAAGTTTTCAAGACTACTAATCTTACTCCCAGTCTTTCACAGGACATCACACAGCCAACACTACCCCTGACCTGTGTTTCTGCCAGCCCACATATGCACAGATCCAAAACCCACCTTGCACTTTGTTGTCTCTATGTGTTAGCTTATGATTCAATTGTTCTACCTGATTTTTTAAAATTAAAAATATCAAGTTTTGCTTCAAAGGGGTCAGTGGGCATGAGCTAATGAATGGAAATCATGGGAACCACCTTATCTGAGCTTGTAAAATGCTGAGACAACAAGCTAGAGAAAACTCTGCTCTTTTTCTCCAAAGCCTACAAAGGCATGTTTGAGGAGACTATATGTTTACCAAGCAGTGGGATTAAGGCGTGTTTCATACAACAGTGGTTCATATCTAGTAGCCCTCCTTTTGTTGCCAATAACTTAGATTTTAATGAAGATCTACTAAGTGCCATGCCCTGAGGGCTAAAGAAAAAAATTAGGAGACATTCCTTGCCCTTAAAGAGGATTGTGGTCTGGTGCAGGAAACAGTGTGGAGTTAGAGCTAACTAAACACAGAGCAATGATAGATGTCACATGATTAAGTGTTACAGGGACCCCCAAAGAGGGGGAGAAATTATTTTTGATAGGAAGTGTGGGAGTAGAACTCTGGAAATATTTATTTGATGAGGCGGCATTTTGAGCCAAGCCTGATAGGATGGGAAAGATTTAGCCAGCCCTAGCAGAAAACTAACAAAACATGCTAATCTATTTCTGCAAAACACAAAAGAAGGACTGCTTTGGGGTTTTCTGAGAGCAGCGAGCAGTAAAGAGATAAGTCTAGCAACATAGGAGTATACTGAGGTTGACAGGATCTGGAATGCCGTGCCTAGAAATTTTAACTTTATTGCAAAAAATCAGGGGTTCTGGAAGGTGTTTGGGCATGAGAATGACATGATCAGAGGTATATGTGTTTAAGAAATTACTTGTTTTGTGCTTTCCTTTTGTCTTCATTTTCTATTATTTTCAACACATACTTGAGCTTTAATGTCTTCTCTTAGCCGCTCGTCTTCTCTGGTGACTGTGTCTGTCAGTCCTCAGTCTTCTTTTCCTCAATCTTATGCATGAGTGAGGAGCTTCACTGTGTCAGCCGTTGTAGCACTGACTTCCAGAGCAAGAGAAATTGAACAAGGTTAAGTGAATACCACTTATTGTTCCTAGTGACTTGTAGGGATAATAAATGTAAATATACTGTTTGCAGTGATGTCTTCATTCCATATTCAAATGACACTATTAACCAATCCTTAATTCAATGCAAATTATTTTGGGTTTCGTGGTAAACTGTATTAAGGGAACTTACTCCACCTGTGATTACCTTCATGCAGGTTACAATACTGCCAAAGGGGACTTGGTGAGATCCATCCTCTATCCCCGACCTCTGAACTTCAAGCTATACAACGATGCCTTCAAGTTTATAGTGTTCCTGGCCTTCCTTGGCATTGTGGGTTTCTTCTATGCCCTTGGTGTATATATGTACCACGGAGTAAGTACTGGGGGTAAGGCTTTTTAATGACATAGCTTTTTCAAGGATCCTCACCTAACTCAAAAGGGTTGGATAAGGTTATCTCTTAGCCCCATCATTCTGTGGATCAGTTCTGTCCAATAGAACTTTCTTAGATGATGGAACTATTCTATACCCACATGGTCCAATTTGGTAGCCCTTAACCACATGTGCTTATTGAACACTTGAACTGTCGCTAGTATGACCAAGGAAATGAATTTTCAGTTTTACTTCATTTTCATTATTTTTAATTAATTTAAGTAATTTAGTGATTTGATTATTTAGTTAATTTAAATTCAAGTCGCCATATGTAGCTAGTGAAAATTGTATTGGATGGCACAGCTATGAAAAGTTGCAAAGTTCATGACTTCTTTCACCACTTGGATGCGAATGAGAGGTTACTTCATGTGTGGCATTGGTAATACCGAAGCCCAAACATCCTCAGAGGAAATAGGTGTTTCTCAAGTCTGATAGAATGGAGAGGATTTAGTCAACCAGATCAGGGAGGAGAAAGGGCATACTAGTTGGAGTGAGAAAAGGACAAAGGAAGAAATGCAGATGGGTCTTTGGAACCAGCAAGCAACTGAGAGATAAAGTCTAGCAAGGTAAAATGGGTCACATTGAAGGGGATCTTGAATGCCGTGCCTAGAAATGTGGATTATTTGAGAATGCTGAGATATTTGAGTGTGTACATGGTCTAAGGCATACCCAACATACCATGTACCCAGTGAGTTTTTCTATGTTCTGTTAGGTTCTAAAATAGAACTGACTGTCCACTTTTACAGAACTGTATGCTGCACGGATCCCCACTTCCTTTTAAACTTCACGGTGGTCCGGTTTTGGTTTGTTTGAACCTTTCTCTTAATAGTTGTGATGGCTGAAGGAAGGGTTCTCACAAATGACCTCTGAGGTCCTTTCTGGTCCTGAGAGTGTGATTCTTTTGTGAACTGTGTAATCTCTTCTTTAAGACATACTGGGATGTTAGCAATGTGGGCTCATCGGGAAGAAGAAAAAAAAAATGTAAATAAAAGGGTCCAAACATAGGTATGAAACTGGGTATGGGTGACTTAATTACAATGCCCAAATGTAGTGCATTCTATGTGTGTGTTGTCGGGGAGAGGGGTAAATATTGATGGACAGAGTGACGAGAATTTCCAGGCAATGTTCACGCTCGTACTTGAGCTCTGGGTAGTCATTTCAGTCTGATATAAGCCTTCAGGCAACATTTCTAGGTCAGGCAAAGGCAAAGGAGGTCAGGGCATATTGGCACCCCTAGAATGGACCCTGGAAAGAGCTGGGCAGACTGTTAAAGCAAGTGGGACTGGAACTTGAGGCACTGTGCCAGTTTCATCTGGGGAGCAGGAACATTGAGCAGGAAAACAAACACAAGGCCCTCTTCTGTGGACCAGGAAGCACCCACAGTGATTAGGAATGAAGGTTTCCCGGGTAGGACTCAACATCTAATACACACCAAAGCAGCGATACTAATTGTAGACCCCACCTTCTTGTGGGTCATAACCTGTGACCCTGCTGGCTTCCTCCATCTGTACAGGAATAGACAGAGCTGAGTCCTCAGGGTCAACACTTTGTGGCCGTGGTTGGGAAAAACAGAGAATGCTGGATTTTGTGACAATCTGAGATTGGACCAATGATGTATCTAGCAGCCTTTGATACTGAACTTGAATCTGTATTTCCAGTACTCAGAAGAGGACTTTAGTGGCTAAAATTACGGTTAATTTCATAAAAATCTAGGGTAAGGCCATTAATATATAGAGAAGGTGAAAAATAAAACAAGCCATGCTGTGATTTGATCTTGGTCCCATTCTTATCAGCCATGTGAATTTCTGTGGACCTGCCTGGGATCTTGACTCTATGAGAGTTGACTGGATACTATAAGACACTGGTCACATATTTGTGCCCCCCGAGTGGGACAGCCTAGGGTTCAGATCCTCACCATTTAACTAGCAGATGGCTTGGGGAAGTTATTTTAATTTTTTAAGCCTTGGTTTCTTTATCTGTTAAATGGAGAAAATAACAGTGTTTACATCCTAAGGTTGTTGTGAGGAGTAACTAAATCATTTGTGTAGCCTAATCCAGCTCTCGCCCCAGAATGTGTGCAGTGAGAACAAGCTATTGTTACTATGGACTTTCCTTTAGCAGACTCCTGGTCATCATTTTTTATCAGGTTACCATTCATTTAACAGTTCCTGTGTCAGAAACTGTGCTAGGCTCTATACCTGGAGATGAGTAAGATGAACTTGCAAAGGACTTCAAAGATGTATCAGCCACAGCTGCTGCACCCAAGCAGTTTGGAAGCGACTGGGGGAGATTTATAACCCAACTGTCAAGCCCGTGTGTGAAATGTTACAACTCAAAAATTGTCTCAGTGCCTGGGGAGTCTAAGAGGGTGTGTTATGATGAGCAGAGGAAGGATGGTACTCTGGGTGGAGGGAATGCCAAGCAAAGAGAAACAGAGTCAAAAAGGGCAGGGTGGACACAGAAAAGGGATCAGAGTTTCTTTTGTGCACAATGGGAGACAACTTGTCTGTTCCTTAAGCACACCCAAGAGATCTCTCTGCCCCACGGAGAGAGCAGCTCTCTTTAAATATTTTGAGCTTCTAGAACTCTTGGAGTGCTGCAGGAGATGGTGCTAGAAAGGGTGCCGCCCTGTGCTGCTAGGCTAACCTTTATGTCCTTCCCTCCCTAGGTTTCTCCAAGAGACACGGCAACCATGGCCCTGCTTCTCCTCACCGTGACTGTCCCTCCTGTGCTACCAGCTGCCCTGACCACAGGAATCGTGTATGCACAAAAGAGGCTGAAGAAAAAGAAAATCTTCTGTATTTCCCCACAGAGAATCAATATGTGTGGACAAATAAACCTCGTGTGCTTTGACAAAGTATGATCTAAACTTTCCTGGTTGGAGGTTGATTTCAAGGCAGAGCAGAGCTGGGAAAGGCTTCCAAGAATGCCTGGTTCACTGCTCTCATTTTACATATAGGAACACTGAGGCCAGAGAAGGTCACACAGTGGGCTTGTAGAGACCATGCTCTACAAGCCCACTGTACAGAGTCCTAAGGAAGTGGTTTAGCTATATCACATCATAAATTTCTTCCCTATGAAATTTAATATTTTAGTGCCTGTATTGGGTTTCAAAACAATCTCTTATTGTAATAACTTCTATGACTGACTGGCTTTTTCAGGCAAAAAAAATTGTGAGGAACATTTCTGTTCCCTGAAATACTTTGTCCTGTGCTTAATTGAAAATATTCCATTTTTCTCCTCTGCTTCTTTTAAGGAAAGGGAGGGAGGGGACAGTGCCTGTGTTAATGCACTCAGTCCCTCCTTTCTCCTTTGACCCCTAGGTTATCAGGACTCAGGACTAGAAGAATGTCCTGTAACTGCTTAGGGTTCTGGAGGTAGCAGGGGAGAAGTATGTCCAAATGGGAAGGATTGCTGCTCTGGGACAGGTCTAAAACCTCTTTCTGTGATTCTCCTGTGGGGGTCCTGTGTCCCTCTGGAGGGATCTCAGCCTCATCCACCTGCTGTTCAGATCCTGCTCTCTGCTTGGGCAGGCCAATTTAATTGTTGTAACACAGTGGGCCTGGCTGGTCCCTCCATGTCTTCACTTTTTTTGTATTAGAATAATTAATTAATTAAGGCTTTGACACTTTTTAATTAACCTACCTTGGCCAAGAGTCCCATTAATAAGAGGGTCCTTGCTCTGGAGAAGCTCGTGACTTAGCTGAGGAAGCAGGTACAACGGAAGTGTAAACCATGATAATACAGTGAAATGCATGCTCAAAGAGGCATGGAAAAGCATCGAAGTTAAGTTACCTGCCATGGATGGGAGGTCACCGCTGAGCTGTGGCTTTGCTTGTTAGACAGAATGGGCTCAGAGATGAGCAGTTCAGAAGCACAGGATGTCATGGCCTGTGGCATGTGGGTGTGGCTACAACAGGGGCTGTGTGCTAGGGAATGTAGCTGGAGAGGAAGAACCCAATTGCTCAGGGCCTGATGTGTCAAGCTAAGAAGTGGGGCCTTGTGAAGGAGAATGGGAGCCGTACCATTTTTTTTTAAACACGATCAAAGACGTTTTTATAGGTGTGTTTTGTTTATTCCATCGAGGGTAATTGGTGAGAAGGAACAGAAGGGAGGTAGGACTGAGACAGGAAGCTATCTAGGGAAGACTGAAGAGATGGGTCATTGTCCTAAGCAAGGAGGGCAAGAATGGAGAGTATAGGACAAACTGGAGAGACACCATGAGTAGACTTGACAAGTCTTGGCTCCACACTGGAAGCAGCTCAGCCCTAAAATTAGTTCCATTCTATTCTGGCTGAGTTTCCTCTGGCAAAGAAAACCCTCAATCACCACTCCACAAGTTAACCACTAGGGCTAACAGTAGCTTCTTTTAGTTCCACGGCTTGGAAGTTTTCTGGTAGGGATTCCCATTTTTTACCCAGCAGCCTCACTGGTGCCTCTAATATAAGAGGGAGATTTATAAAGTTAGGTTCATTACATATTTGTCTTATTCTAAAACTAATTTTTCCAGTTGTTCATTTTACGTCTCATACAAAGCTTTTCCCCTCCACGTCCTCATGTGCTCCTTTGCTAGACCAACTGAGGAACTGTTCCTTGGCACGCTTGGCCAAACCCCAGTGGCATGACAACATGTCATAGTGCAAAAAACACTGGGTTGGGAATCGGCAAAATGAGAAATCAAGAGAAATTTGAACTCCAATGATCTCTCGGTGCCTTTCCAGCTTGTACATTGTAAAACTCTACCAATATGGTGTTGGAATGAAGCATCCCACAATTAATCGAGGTCCCCATCTACTTTTATTTCCACTTAGAAGACATTCACCATGTGCTTCTTATTCCCATATATTTCTAGTTTATGTTGGTCTAAGTTCTTTAAAACAGTTCTCTTCTATTCAGCTCAGCCCAAGCCTGGGCTAGTATTTATGCTAAGAAGTTGGCTTTTTCTGTCTTATTCCCTTTACAACTGTAACTATAGTTTTCTTTCTGTTCATGGCTAGTTTTATAGTATAAGAATCATTTTCACATAGAGAAATGACACAGTCCCATTTCTGTTTGCTGCCATATAATCTCTGTTTTCATGTTCAAAATATTGATGTGTAAAAATATAATCTGATCATCAGGGAAATATTTCAGTTTGAATTAAGCTGCTAACTCTTTTTGAAATGGAATAACTCAAGAGGATTTGGAATCTAAACACACAGGTTGGAACCCTCATAAAATGCAGGAGGGAAATCAAGCAAATAGGTTTTTTTCTATTGTTCTTCAAGGAGTAACTCACACAAAGCATGTTAGCTTTCTGTGAAGCCCAAATAAATGAGTGAAACAAAGAATCCTTCACTCCTTAATTGGAAGTCCAGTATGGGTTTTGTCTTTCTGCATGCTTTGCAAAATTTATTTAACATTTGTCATCTAGAGGGAGATTCTAGAATGGGCCAGATTCTGGTTCTTTCTCTCCAACCTGCAAGCCACTGGACCTTGAGGCTGCTCCTTTAACTTCTAACCTGAGAACGTCCCTTCCCTATTTAGTCGATTGTAAGAATTAGAAGCATTGTAAGCACTTCATCATAAAGCGTTATGCCAATTTAATGTGCTGTAATGAAAGAAATGTCATTTGATAGGAAGCTAGAAAATTCAGTGTCTTATACAGAAATGACTGTAAAAAGAATGACAGAGACCTGGGTGTCAGTATTGAAAAGGGATACACCCCAGCACTTGGGAATGTTCTGCCCAGCCTTGACAGTGCTGAAGTAGTGGAGCTACATGGTTACTCTGACTGGGTGTTGGCCTCTTGCATAAAGACACCGGGGTCTGTAATTAATGGTGGGCTATGAAGCAATAAGCAAATTCAAAGTGCTGTCATAGTACTTAGTTCCATGTTGCTTTCTTTGTTACATTATGTGATAAATACTCTCCCATAATATAGCAAATCAAATCTCCCAACCATTTTCCTCTTGATCTAACAATAAAACCCATTCATGGGCATTAATGAGTATTTATTATTAGCACTTCATTTCTCTCTAAATTCTCAAAGCCCTTTATCAACATTTCATTATCAATCCGGACAGTCATCATGTCACCCATATTTTAGAAAATTGCTGTCGAGCCAGATGGCAGACTATGAACTAATCAGTCTTAAAAAGAAAGAAAAATTCTGAACTCTGCTTTAGAAAGATAGCAGGTGCCAACTATAAAGTCAAACTCGTACTGGTCCTTATTGGATTTCCATTCACTAAATGCTTCTCATTTAACAACAGCAAGTGCAAAAATAAACACACAAAAGCAAAACACTAACATTTGATTGTTATCTAGAATCATTTGTTATCTAGATATCTAGATTGGTATCTAGAATCATTTCATTATCGACACAGTCTTTTCAGGAATCATTTGTCACCTGCTGAATTCTTCCTTCAGGTACCCTTCTCTGATTTAAAATTTAATGCTTGCAAGAGTGCCTGAGTGGCTCAGTTGGTTAAGTGTCTGACTGGCTCATGTCATGATCTCACAGTTTGAGCCCAGCATCAAGCTCACTGCTGTCAGCATGGAGTCTGCTTTGGATCCTCTGTTTCCCTCTCTCTCTGCCCTGCCCCCCCCACTCAAGTCATGCACACATGTTCGCTCTCTCTGTCAAAAATAAACATTAAAAACATTTTTAAAAATAATAAAAAAACAAAATTTAATGCTTACAAACAAGGACTTTGGACAACTAGATCTACTTTAATGTTTTGGGAGGTTGGGTTTTGTTTAAATCATGATATAATCAAAAGTTCTAAATCTTATGCTAATACCAATTCTAACTTCTTCCAGACTGGCACTCTTACGGAAGATGGGCTGGACCTCTGGGGGACGGTCCCTACTGCTGACAACTGGTAAGCACTTCAGTGAAGATGGGATGTGGGATTGGTGTAGCTACCTTGGTGCTATTCAAGCCCATCCTTCTGATGTCCCAATTATTCTAACTTGTTAAATTAAATGGGTTCTAAGTTCAGAATCAGATGGGGAAAATAGGCCTTCAAACTCCACATGAAAAAATAGAACGAACTGGGTGAGTAAGAAGCTGAATGAATAAAAAAGAGGAGCAAAGGGTGAAATCATAACTGTACTTAATTAAAAACCACAAAGATTTGCTGGTGGTTATTGGACTGGGCGGGGTGGGGAGAGGAGTCCAGAAAGGAAGAGTTCCATCCCTTCCCTCATGTAGCTCATATCTCATGGGATTGGAAGGCACAAATGCATTCATCTTCTACGCATAATACAGTCCACGGAAAGAGCTATGATTAAGGCACGCATATCAGGAGAGAGAAGAAAAAATAATGATTGTTTGATATAATACACACACAGTCTTGGATTTTGGAATAACATAGTGGATAAAATGTCGAAATTAATTTTGGAAATGAACAGAATGAGGAAAAACATCTGACAAAGATAGCACTTGAGATAGAATGTTAAAGGGTATATGGCTACCATTTTTACAGACACAGGTGAAAAGCTGGCCATAGGAGAGGGGAGAACAATCACAGAGATGCTACCCCAGAATGGATAGTGAGGAGAGGGCCCTAGCTCCCTTTCCCCACAGGGCTGAGATCTGCCCATTCGGTCTAAGTACAAGATGCCTTGACTCTTCAGCTCTAGATATCCCCCCTTGGCTCTAAACAGTGGTTGAGACTCTGTCATTGAGTCATGCAGGGGCTCTCCAGCACAGTGATGGGGCCAAGCACAGCTCTGGCACAACAGCAGACAGGCAGTGCGATGTTGCAGAAAATACTTGGGTTCAACCCTACTCATGTGGTTCAGCTCCTGGTTGCTCAGATGGCCGGGCCAATCTTTGTCCGGACAGGCACTGCTTTGTCTTCTATTGGCCAGACCAGTGAAAGGGGAACAGGATGCTTAGAGTTTTCACCCCTCCTCTCTTTTCCTTTCCCCAAATGCTCAGGTTTTCGGGGTGTAGAAACCACTGTCTACAATTATCATTTGGCTATTAGATGGGAAATGAGAATGGTAAACTGTACCAGTCTACCATCATGAAGGAAAATGAGACGCTGGATATCTATGCCAGGAGTTTCTAGAAATAGGGCAAAGGACTGAGTCATGAGAAATATTTCAGAGTCCAGGTGTGCTTTTCTTTTATTTTAAATTTTTTTAATGTTTATTTTTGAGAGAGAGAGAGAGAGCATGAGTGGGGGAGGAGTGGAGAGAGAGGGAGACAGATTCTGAAGCAGGCTGCAGGCTCTGAGCTTACTGCCACCCTAGGCACTGACCTCAAGTAACCTGACGGAAGTCTCTGTGATTATATCCAGGCACTTAGACTTTATCATACAGGGCATGAGGAGCTCTGGAAGGATTTGAACATAAAGGTTAAGCATTATTGAAACTCTGTGTTGGCAAGATTTAAGGGGCAGAGTGTGTAAAATGATTTTGTTGAAGACTTTCATTTCTTAATCATCTTCTCTCCCAGTTTTCAGGAAGTGAATAGCTTTGCCTCAGGCAAGGCTTTGCCATGGGGCCCGCTGTGTGCTGCCATGGCCAGCTGCCACTCTCTGATCCTTCTCAACGGGACCATCCAAGGAGACCCACTGGACCTCAAAATGTTTGAGGGCACTGCCTGGGTAAGATGATAGTTTCTTGTTTTGGCTAAATGAGAACAACTTTAAGAAATCCTTACTGAAAGTGGAAAAGTTTTCTAACTTTGAAGCTCAGAGAAGATTTGTAACAACGTTGAAGGAAGGTTCGACTCTACCTGAATTTCCCAGTATCTGCTCCCAAGAACTCTGTTAATGAGTGCAGCTTGAAATAAGGTTCCGTGATCAAATCGTTTGGGAACCTGCTGTTTTAAGAAAGTAAAATTGATTTCTTGACTACCAGATTTCTTTAGTATACTGTGGTGCATTGTGAATATTCAAGAAGGAATAGGATAAGCAGCATTTACCAAACCTTCTTGACCACAAAACCTTGACAGGCCAAGACGTGGTACATTCTCGGTAACACTCACAGAGAAACAGTGGTCTAAAGCAGTGCTATTCAGTAGAGTAGCCACTAGCCGGCGACATGTGGTTATCGAGTACTTAAAATTTGGCTATGCAATCAAGGACTGAATTTTTCAATTTTATTCACTTTAATCAATTTAAATATAAATGGCCACAGGTGGCTGGTAGCTACTGTATTAGACAGTATAGGTCTAGATACTAGCCTGAAGGTTTCCCAGTCCAACTGGATCAATTTTTTGAGCTGAGTATGAACAGTTGAAGGGTATAAACCCATTCTCGTGGCTGTCATGACATGGTGAGCAGACCTCTTGACCCCATCACTTTCTAGCTGTGTGACCCCAAATCCAGAACCAAGATTCTGAGTCTGTTACCTCAGGTGTGCATTGGTGATAATAATGCCTCACTCACCGACTTGTGGTAAGCACTGATCCTATGAGCCTACAGGGGCTGCTTGCATTGTAAAGTGCCCACCAAGTGAAAAGCATTCATTCATTCATTCAGTCAGTCACTATTTAGTTAATTATGTTACTCTGCTCTCCAAAAAACCAAACCAAAACAAAACACGTTTTCAAGCTACTGACAATGATATCTTAACTACAGGGCAGCATTTAAACAGAATGTTAAAGGAATGAAAACACATGACTGCAGGGACATGAAATACACCTCACAGAAAGGCAAATTTATAGATGTATAGGTTTATAGTGGGGGGAGGGGCACCTGAGTGGCTCAGTGGGTTACGTGTCCAATTCTTGGTTTTGACTCAGGTCATGAACTCACGGGTTCATGAGTTCAAGCCCCGACTTGGGCTCTCCACTGGCAGTGTGGAGCCTGCTTGGGATTCCCTCTCCCTCTCTCTCTCTGCCCCTCCCCCCCCCGTTTCTATCTAAAATAAATAAACTTATAAAAAAAATTTTAAAAAGTGTGTACTGGCAAAATTGTAGCTTTCTAGAAGCCAAAATAATAAAAGAGGAAACCTGGTAAACATGGAAATTTTTGATACCAGCGACTTAAAATTTAAGCATTTGCCGTGGAGAAATCTTCTACTTAAACACAAAGGGATAATCACTCTCCTGGATCTTAACGGAGAGGAATCAGTGTAATTATTACACATTGCCCTCACCGGCATCCTTCGCGTAGACACAGTGATGAGCTGCTTAGGGTCATTCTTACTATATGTGACTTTGATCCTGGTTCTGACGGTGGCTCTTCTCCATCGAAGGGTGTTGGTCTATTTGTACAAATGACATACAAGTTGGGGTCTTGTGCAGGAATATAAATTGCTAGGATTAGCTCTGTAAGACCTGTCTTTAAGAGCAGTGGTATCCACCCCAAGCAAAGTATGGAAGTGCAAAGTGATTTGCATAATTTAAAGCTAGGTGAGAGGGGCGCCTGGGTGGCGCAGTCGGTTAAGCGTCCGACTTCAGCCAGGTCACGATCTCGCGGTCCGGGAGTTCGAGCCCCGCGTCAGGCTCTGGGCTGATGGCTCAGAGCCTGGAGCCTGTTTCCGATTCTGTGTCTCCCTCTCTCTCTGCCCCTCCCCCGTTCATGCTCTGTCTCTCTCTGTCCCAAAAATAAATAAACGTTGAAAAAAAAAAATAAAGCTAGGTGAGAAACAGTCTCAAATTAAGTATCCTTTGGTGGATAGGAACCTGTCATGAAACATAAGGAGGAGGGGAAATATCCTTGTAGACTCTAATAATTTTAGTGCTACAAGGGATGTCAGAATATTTTTCAGAAGAAATTTGAGATCTGGAGAAATGGAGGCACTGTCCCCAATGTTAAACAGGTAAGTGATGGAGCAGAGGCCAAATGTTGTCTCCCGTTTTCTGATTTGTAGATCTGACTGCCTTTCCTATATTTTAGGTTAATATTGGTTTCTCAAATGGTGTAACTTATACTGTTGCAACCTCCAAAGAATGCAAACTGTTTTCAAATATGCTTTCTAATTTGCCAACAGCTAACTTGCTAACTCTCTAGCTAACCAATTAGGCTAGTAACGTAGATACAGAATAAGAATTAATCCCAGGTTTATCTCAAGACCCAATCCTAACTCAACTGAGGGCTAATATGCTCAGCTATATTAAATTGCCATCCAATTACTAGTCATACCATTCAGGAAGAGCCATTGGCCTGTAGCCGGCATTTCTTCCATCAATTACCACTTAAACTGTGGTCACAATATTTCTGGCTTTTTTACATTCTCCAACAAGGTCCTTAATAACGCAACAGAAATTTGACAATGATGGTATTCAGATAATTGGCCTACAAGAGAAAATATGTGGAAGGGGCTTTGAAAAGGTTCAAGTGCTATGCAAATGAGAGGTATTTTTTTCTTACTATTTTGCTCTAAGGAATCTTATGAATGTTTTCATTTTGAAACAGATAATGGAAGATTGCGATGCAGACTACCGCACATTTGGGATGCCAGGTTCAAACATAATAATAAAGCCAGGACCAAAAGCCAGTTGGGTATGACTTGCTTTTTCAAATCAGACAGCTCTTTCTCCTTGAAACTAACAGTGTCCATAGTTGGTTTGCTCGTCCCTTCATTCCTGAACCTAGTTTTAAATTTATTCATGAACCTGTCTTATGCTAGAGCACTGCGCTAGGTGCTAAGGGATAGAGTGATTTCAGAGCTAGATGTGTGGGGCTCTGTGTTGGAGGAGTACAGAGGCTGGTAGAAAAATCCATATAGGTGCAAATCAGTGCAATACCCTGGGCCGACTGCTATAATAAAGGCTGAAGAAAGAGCTGCAGGCGTTCAGAGGTGAGAGTGAATACTATTTATGAGAGAGAAGTGCCACAGAGGCAGGGACCTGTGAACTTGGCCGGGAAGATGATTAGGATTTCTCCAGGCAGTCAAAGGGAAAGGCCTTGCAGAACCAGACAACTTGATGAGGGAATCGCCGTCGAGGCAGACAGAAAAGTATCAATGTTGTGACAAACATACCACTTCATGACGTCCTTGGGTTCATTGCAGAGCAAGTCCTATTTGTTGGTGTGCATCTGTGAAATTTCACAAGCATCTTAAGCTCTCCTTTGTTGGTGCTGTCTCAGAGTCCCGTGGAAGCCATAGCCATCTTGCGCCAGTTTCCATTTTCCTCAAGCCTGCAGAGGATGTCTGTGGTCGCTCAGGTGGCAGGGGAGGATCACTTCCATGTGTACGTGAAGGGTGCCCCGGAGATGCTGGCCAAGTTCTGCAAGTCTGAAACAGGTACTAATTGACCCTGTTCTCTCTTTCAGAAGGTAAAAATGTTTTAGAAGCCCAAACACACAAAGCACACAAGACTAAATGAATGTGGAAGTGATTGTTTTCTCAGTGAGTGAGAAGTGGGCCCAGGAGACCTGATAAGACAGAGGTGACCATTTCAAGGCCATGAGGCAGAGAGTAAATATCTGGCTTTGATCCATCCAGAAAAGTCCAACCACAATGGGGTATCAGGGAAGGAGATGTGAAGCAAATATCAGGAGCCAGAACAGGAAGCTACGTAAGGGTGAGCGAACCAGGAACGTGTGAAGGGAATAATGGGACAGGTCTGGGCCCTGCACTCAGCCTGCAGCTGGGGCGCTCCGCCTGACACCTCTGGGGGCTGGCACCATGTAAGGGCCTCGTGCCGGTCAATGGAAGGAGAATACAGACAAGATAAATCTTTCACACACACACAACGTGATTAGAGCAAATTAGACGGTATTAGAGCAATGCAATTGATCATTTTCACAGCAATTTCATCTTTCTGGCCTAGATTTTGAGCTGATTTGTATTGTCTCTTTGTCTTACAAACATATGCACTCTCTAAGCGGCAGCCCAGATTTGTAAGGATATTGTTGCATTCAAATGAGTTCATTTGGATAAAATTGGCCTTTTTCTCCTGATTTTCATCTACATTCTCCCTATGATTGCTGATAGCCATCAACTTGTGCACACAATTTTAGATTTGGCAAATGATGGCTTTAACTTCTCCCTCTACTTAGAGCCTTTTTTACCTTAGAAGCGGCCCCTTTTTCTGACCTCGATCTTCCTCAGAACTCCCATGACCTCTAACACTCTATCCCTCTATCCCTCACAGACTGATGGCCTATATTTTGCTATACTTTTTTTTTTCAGTCTCACAGATGCAAGTGAGTATCTTCCTGAAATTTTAACTGGTGATTATTGCCCTTGCTCCCTGGTAAGGGTTTGGGTCAGTCACTTCTCACCTCTCATCCTTCTGGTAGCCCTTCCAATTCTTATTTGTCCTGACCTCAGATCTTTGACATATGCTAATACTTCAGTGATTTCTCCCCCTGTATTTAGGAAATAGAGAGCTAGGAGATGCCTTGATCCCCACCTTCTGGATCATTTTAGAATTACAGGAAGCTTGAGCTGAATGGGGACATTGAGGTCCACACCCTCTCATTCTATGGATGGGAAAATTGAGGAGCCAGAAGAGAGACCTACCAAGCCCAAGATCAGAGAGCTAGTTGGCAGTAGAATGGATACTAGAAATCAAGTGTTTTGCTACCTAAGCCACTACATTTCCATTACACTGTTCTTTTTAATGCTCTTCTAGGCATCCTACGAGCCATAAAGATTTCACAAATATTGTAATATTGGTAATGACTACCATGCCAAAATACACAAACGTTGGCATTGTGTCGTCTGTCCTCTATCACAGGGATTGCGAACATTTTTGCAAAGAGCTAGGTGGAAAATAACTTTGGTTTTGCAGGCCACATGGTGTCTGTCTCAACTGCTCAACCCTGCCATTGTGACCCCAAACCCAACATAGATGATAAACAAATGGGCATGGTTGCATTTCAATAAAACTTTGTTTACAAAAACAAGCAATGGACCAAATTTGGCCTTTAGTTTGCTGACCCCTCATCCAGAGGATCAGCTGTTTTCATTTTATCCTTGTAGACATAGTCGTGAGGTCTATCCTTATTAAAGCCAGCCAGTGGAGTTGACACCCAGGGGATGACCGGCGCATCCTTGGCATTCATTTCAGTCAGAATAATAAGAGCACCCTAATGAAGTTGTGGCTTTTAGCCAGAGCTGTAGTTTTTCTATTAAAGTTTTTTTTTTTTTTTTTTTGGAATTTTAAAACAAGGTACAGTGACTGGATCCCAGAGTCTTGCTTAGGAGGTGGGCAGCCTTCAGTGTGACCTTACCTTTACCTCTTTCCTCTCACCTGACAGTACCCAAGAATTTCCCACAGGAACTCAGGAAATACACAATACAAGGCTTCCGTGTCATTGCTTTTGCCCATAAAGGCTTGAAGATGAAGAAGCTTTCAGAAGTAGAGAATTTAGCCAGGTAAGGAAGTCAGATATAGACACTAGAGCAGGCTCTGTGTGTGTGAAGTAAATGAATGCTGGAGATGGACAGAAGGACAGCTCCAATCACGAGGAAGCCTCCTGGAGATGCAAAGTCGTCTCATCCAATCTCCTAACTTGGAGCCGGGCAACCGTAAGCCACACTGGGGAAGACTGGTTGGAGGTAGAACAAAGATGGTAGTCCAGATCTCTTGACTCCCAGCTGTCAGTGAGCTATCTCTGCCCGGCAGTCCATCATCCAATCAAAAATAACCAACACTCCTTCAATCTTGGAACATTATGTGGCTGACTGGCTTGGGGGTCCCATGTACAAACGGGTTGAGAAGGAGAGAGTGGGCTCTGTGACACACTGACCTCCAGTATGCTTTAAACCTGGTTTCAGACCTGGAGATGTAGTGAGTCTAAGTTGAGCTATATGAAATAGGATTCAGTATTCTTAATTACATTAATGGATAAAATGTCCTCATTAGAGTATAATCTGCAGATTCTTTTCTCTTTTAATGTTTCTCAGTTTTTAAAGGTTATTTTTGAATTGTCTAAGACAAAGGGGTAGTGAAATACTGCGGAACATTGAATAACAAACTATGCATTATCTTCGATGTAGTGTTGCTGATAGAGAAACCCTCACTTATATACAATTAGCACCTTCACATAAGATGTGGATATCCTTGGTCCAATGTTACTGTTTACAAGCTATGTCCGTGTGTTCTAATACAATCTTTGTCCCTTCCTTGCACTGTGTCTATTTCCCTCGTCTCTCAAGTGTAGGATTGGATGATCTTTAAGGAGCTTTTCAGCCATGACATTTTAATCTTCTAAATAGAATCACAAAGCTCATTTTGAAATCAATGAAATAAATTATGGCACTCTCAGATTTAACATTAAAGGTGTTAGCTATTCTTGAGCAAGCACGAAGACCCATAACACACAGGATTTTGTAATTTCTCAAGGCAAAAATTTTAATAACAAAAGCTAAGGTTATGTGTGAAGAAAAAATTCATGTAGTTTGACAAGGAATATTGCCACCACCCAGCTGCCACACACTAATGTAGCTTTGATGTTCTCATTTAAAAGTCACTGATGAGTAGACATTATTATAAATATAACAGAATAAGAAAGTGATGATCAAATGTGCTAGATTTCCAATCATCTCAGATTTTCCCAGAGAATATAAGGATTCTATTATGCTTCTTAAAATTTCGCTACTATTTTCAAACAGAGTAAGGGAAAAGTGTTTTCAGTTTTTTTTTTTAGAATCAAATTATATTTTGCAAAGTTTTCGAATCAGAAAGATCAAAAACTTCTTTAAAAACTGGTGTGTCATAAAAAGGAAGTAGAAGAGTTTCTGTCTCTCTCTCTCTCTCTCTCTCTTTTTTGTTTTTGGAAAAAATAAAACACCCCACACTAACAAACAGAAGAAATACTTTGTCAAAATTCTCCCTTTCATTGGTTTAGCAAATTTCTATTGAGTTTGAGGGTGCACAAGATACTCTTTAAGGCACTGAAGATTCTGCAGTGAGACAATCTTTGCCCTCAGAAGCTTATATCCTAATTGGGAAAGATAGATCATGATACCATTTTACATGGAGTGATCAGGGAAAGTCCTCTGAAGAGGTGCCATTTGAACAGAGATATGGCACGAGGATATCCAGAAGAAGAGTATTGCAGGCAGCCAGAAGAGTGAGTGCAAGGGCCCTGACACAGGGATTTGCCGGGAATGTTGCAAGGTAGCAAGAGGCCCAAGTGCCTGAATTGGTGAAAAAGGGAAGAGTCCTCAAATAGAGACCAAAACTGGAAGAAACTGGTGGGACGATTCTTTGTTTTAGTTCTAGCTAATGGGAAAATATGAATCCAATGTATAATAGACAGCTATGAAGTTAAATGATAGAAATTTAACACATTCTGAATTAAGGTAGGTCTTTCATCATATTCTCTGAGATCACTGAGGCAGGATTCATATCTGATAATCTGAGTACTCAGCAAGTGCCCAATACAAGGTCTAAAACAGAGTGATTGGTGAGTGGACTTTTGAATGAAAGATGGAGTAACTTGTTCTGTACTCCAGAGAGAAGTTTCCTCACTGTGTTCCCATCTAAGTTTGAGTAATATTTTTCATCAAGAAATCCAACTCTGCTCTTTCTCTTGAAGAAGGTTTACTGACTGTGTGTTTATTTCTTCTATCTCCCAAGTCCTACCAGCAAGATAGAAAAGAAATAACATCAAAGAAAACTAGAGAGGTGATTAAGTGCAGACAGGAGATTTCTATCATTTCTGTATGATGAAGAGTAAGTGGGGGGGCGGTGAACGGAGTCTGAATCAGTAGGGATGGAAGAAGTGTGGTCTACGCCATGCCAGAGAGAGAGATGGCGAGAGGGAAGTTGCTCCACCCTGTAGAGCCTGACAGGCAGAGACTCAGCTCTATCACGTACTGTGGAAGGTAGACGTGGGACAGGACTGAACATGGGAGATTGTACCCAACAAGGTTAGGTCCCTAGGTCTCCAGCTCCTCCTGCAATCTTAACTCCCCCCAGGGCAGAAAAAGGAACAATGCGAGATAAGAAAGAGATCTTGGCCCCCCACGTTGACTTTTTAAAAAGTCACCTGAGATTTATTCCATTCCTGAGGTGAGTTCCTATAAAATGAGTGTAACCCAGTTAGACTCCAAGCTTCCAATTTCAAATTCTGATAACTTTTTGAAGGCTTAGCTGATATCATATATTTTCTGGAGGTTACAGATGGAGGTTGAAAGGAATGATTCCATATTCAACTGTTACCGTAGTATCCCGTAGACTTACTAAATGCCTAACTAAACTGATTACCAGGTCACAAAAAAGGTCTTTGAAATTAAAAACAAAATATGTGTGATTAACAAAAATTTTAAAAACCAACAGAAGAGTTGGTAGATAAACACATTCTTTTAAAAAATGGAGTTGAAAAATGGAAGAAGCTGCTAAAAGATATAAAAGTGGTTGCCTCTGGGAAGGAGAGGGGGTGAATAGGGGTGGAGATAGGGACTATTGGTTTTCATCATAAGCTTTTGGGTTCTTTTTTATTTTTAAAACATATGCATGCATTACATTGATAAAATTTAGAAAAACTTTTTTAAGGAAGAAATAAATTCAACCGTCAAGACTCCATAAATAAGCTTTAATATTTTCTACTGATCCCAAGAGAGAAGGTGGAGTCAGACTTGACATTTCTGGGACTTCTCATAATGGAGAATCGCTTGAAAAAAGAAAGCAAGTCAGTCTTGAAGGAACTGCATGAAGCCTGCATCAGGACCGTGATGATTACTGGTGTGTACTTCTGGAAGCCTGACACGTTCAATGTATCCCAGGCGTCAGAAAAAGACCATGTGAGCTAAGTGGGTTCATGTGGCTGAGGCAGAAGGAAAAATACTTAGCTGTCATGTGTTACTGTTCTTTGACTCCTGTTCTTGCGGCACAAGTGCAGCAGCCCCAAGATGACTGTGAGATTTGGTAGCAGAGACCCTACTTCATTCTCTTTGTCTAATGCCCCTTCTCCCTACTTGGGCTTGGTCCAGAGTTAATAGGCTCACAGTAAATGTTTAAATACAAGAACGGATATGTGCTCATCAAGAACCCCAGTGAGACGTCTGTGTAAAGGGTGTAAGACTCTACTGAGCTGTCCTTCAGGGCTGTGGGGCAGGCATAGCATATGCTGATCCAGTCCACGCATGGCCCAGCCCTCAGTGTTCTAGTCTCTGTTTGACTGCAATCCAGACCCCCAAAATGGTTCCATGCGATCGGAGTGGGCCCGTGTTATCTTCACCACTTGGGGCTCTCAGTCTTCTGAGGGTTCATCAAAAAGCACGTAACCATTTCCTTATTCATCCTTGCATGTTTTGGAAATATTCAGTGTTGAAGACATGCTGCCATTGTGGCAGGGAGATGCAGACATTGTTTTTGACCACTAGAGACAGACAGGCTTGGGCAAGAGGGACAGACAAATGGTTATCAAATAAGGCCAAAAGTGGGAAATGCCCCCCAAAGAGCACCAATATTGGGGTAGGCCCACTCAGAGGAGGCAGAGCTTAATTTGAGCTGCTGAGAGATTTACACAGAAAGCAAGCTGACTCTCTTTGTCATCTAGGTGACAACCTTCAAACAGCGATTACTGTGGCAAAGAATTCTGAAATGATTCCTGGAGGAAGCCAAGTGATCCTTGTTGAAGCCAATGAACCAGAAGATTTTGTTCCTGCCTCTGTGACTTGGCAGCTGGTTGAGAACCAGGAGAATGGACCAGAGAAGAATGTGAGCAAATGTTAGAAGGCCCCTTGGTGGCCTGGGCTGATGGCATACAGCCCTGGCCCGGGCAGCCTTCTCTGGGCGTTAGAAGTCACCCAAGTCAAAACCCTTCACAGCTGGAGGTTCTGAAGTTTGCAAAGCATTTAGCATTTCCACTAGCACTTCTCGTCTTGGCTGCATGAAGAAATCACCTGGGAGAGTTTTAAAGCTTCCAGTGCCAAGGTTTTACTGGTTAAATCCAAATCTCTGGGTTGGGAGCTGGCATCAGCCCATGATTCCAATGTGGCTGGGAAATTATGTCCATATTTCCCATTTGAATCTCCTAGTTGGCCTATACAGTTGACAAACTGTTCAATTCACAAATGTGAAAACTGAGGTCCAACAAGGTAAACTTGCCCAAGACACACCACTGGCAAGTTGCAGAGCAGGAAATCAAATTTAGGTCTGTCTGATAGCACCCAGATCCATGGGCATTTACTTGTTTATTTTTTTAAAGACTTTTCAGAAATACTTTTTCTTCAAGGTAAAAAAAAAAAATTAATGTTTATTTTGTGAGAGAGAGAGAGAGAAACAGATTGCAAGCTGAGGAAGGGCGGAGAGAGAGGAAGACAGAATCTGAAGCAGGCTCCAGGCTCTGAGCTGTCAGCACAGAGTCCGACATGGGGCTCAAACTCACTAACTGTGAGATCATGACCTGAGCTGAAGTTGGACGCTTAACCCACTGAGCCACCCAGGAGCCCCCAGATCCATGGCCATTTAGATTGTGCTGTGTTTGTGACATTAAGTTAGCAAGTGTCAAACTTTTCGAGATAGCAAGTTTCCTGTGCTTTTGTGAAAAAAATGGGCTGCAGCCTGACATCCCATCATTAAATGTGGCACCTCTGCCTGTCTGAATTCCAGATGGTCCTCCAGGTGATAAATTACAAAAATGCTCCCTTCCTTCAGGCTGACCAGCCCTTTGGATTGTTAAATGTAGAGTAGGCCTTGTACAGTATACAAACTGCACAACTGTACAGTGACCCTACCCCTGCTTGGCTCAAACCCCATCATATTGGCTGTAAAAGATGACAGCTCTATCTGCACTTTCAGCAGATTTCTGGTGCTTATATCCTTGCAAACTCACTTGCTTCTGTGTCAATGCATGCTGCCTCCATTTCACTGTGTGATAAAAATCAGGTCTTCACTAATTTTTAACAAACAGTCCACTCACACTACCCACTCATTAATTTAATACCTTTACTGAAGTTTTGGCCATCGCTGGGTAGTCTGGCTCCCTCCCACCACTTTCCCTATCCAACTTTCTATTGAAAGCAGAAGGAATTCTTTCCTTGCCTCATGTGGAATGCTTTAAGCATATTTTTTGTTGGCTATTTTGCAGTTGGGAGAAGGGGTGTGGAAAGAGAGGGGTGTGTCTCCTTGCCTCCCAATTCAGAATATTAAGATGAATCCCTCTAGTGAAAAGAATGTTCTCACCTTCTATGTTATTTGAACTCAGAGTTCTACACTAATGTAAGGACCCCTGAGAAATGTTGCATGAAAAAGCATGATCAGCTGTCAACACTGTGAGTGCATGTGCATTCATCGGGTGCTCTCTCTTGGGGCTGAGCCAGGTGGAGCTAGATTGCAGTGATGGGAGCACATTGACAAGTGGAAGGCAGGAGAGAAAGAGCTGGTGCAATGGAACATAGGGCATGGAAGAGGAGTGGAACACCATGAAGGAACATGTTGCCTATTGAGGTGGGGAGAAGGCAGGTGCTATAAGGAGCTAGGCTCTGAAGAAAGAGTCTGCCTATTTTACAAGGAAGAAATTGGGGAATTATTGGTGAGTGAATGACTGGTAAAAGATCTTAGGAAATAAAAGCATGAAGAGGAGAGGAAAGAGGAGGCAAGAATGTTTTCTACTCTTCTTTGGAATCACTAACGGGTACCTCGGAAGGATTTCCTCAGCAGACTGACATACATGTATGAACTCCTAGGACATGATCCTGAGCATTGTGTTGTCGATGTCTCATATGGTCATATAATTTGGGAAGGACATTTTGAGTGTCTTCTTCATCGGAGTCTAGGTTCCATGGACAAATTGCACATTATGTATTTGCTGGCCCTCACATTATTGCATAACTTGAATACACTTCCTTCCATAAAACATAGGAAAGCAGAGACATTCTTTAAGAGCCCATGTGGAAACAATGCCCTTTTGAATTTAGGAAACCTGCGTTAACATTGGGAACAGTTCGGTGCCTGATGGAGCGAGAGGGAGCTGTTACCATTTTGCAATGAGTGGGAAATCCTACCAAGTGATATTTCAGCATTTCAACAGCTTGCTTCCAAAAGTAAGTACTGGTGAAATGAAGTGTTTTGTTTTGCTCTCAAATTAGTGAGGCAAAAAAAAAAAAGAAGAAGAGAATAGTGAAGGTGATGATCAGTGAGGTTGTCTCAGATTTGGGGAATAAACACCCCCAAAGGTGCTCCTTCAGAAGTTCCCCAGCCCTACCTGATCCTGCACATGCACATAACCCCCTCTTCAGAGTCTGAGCTCTGGTACAGCTCTTCACCCCCCCATGGCCAGCCCAATCCCAGTCTGCCTCTTCCTATCCCTCCCCAGCAGGGAGGACCTCCAAATAGTTCCAAATGTGCTGCCTGTTTTGTGGGTCAGCCTCTCTCTGAAAGCTACCAACTCATGTCAGGTTGAGCTCTATTCCCCTTCCTGTCTGGATTCTTAAATTACAGCAGCAGGAAACAAAGACCCCGTGGTTTATTTTCAAAATCATTTGTTATCTTGTCCTCTGTGTGTCTATTTAAAAATAGTGCTGTGCAGGGTTGTGCTGTCAGTGTGAAGGAGATAAGTGGAGCACAAGCTGAGGGCAAGCAACCATCTGTTAGCAGTTTCTTGAAAATTCTGTCACCTTAACAGACAAGACCATTGAATCTAGACCCCAGAGGCTTCTAGAAAGCTCTAGTGCAGTACCTAATTGAGGAGATGGGGAAGCTGAGACTCAGAGAGTTTAGGTCCCTTGTCTAAGCTTTGCCCAGCCAGTGGGACCAGAGCTGAGAATGGAACGTTGGTCTCCACTCCTCACCTATCGCTTTTCTTCTATCTATGCTGCAATTGTGGTGATAGTGTTTAGTAGAAAGAACTGTATTTCCTTAAGCATTTTTGTCCCATATACTCTGCTGCTTTTCAGCTATTATTAACTAGAGCTTATCCAATCTCAGAAAAATGGCCAGGAAAAAAGTCATAAAGTTGTGATGGGAGATGAAAGTGAAAGTTAAATATTAAAGCATTGAGTCCCCTTTCTCCCTGTCCTGACATTTGGGCTAACGACACACCACCTATTGCTATATTCAAACAGTGGCTGGGAATGACTTTCAGGGCTGTCCTTTTTTAAAAAAAGTGTCCTTGGGGGCTCCTGGGTGGCTCAGGTGGTTAAGTGTCCAACTCTTGATTTTGGTTCAGGTCATGATCTCGTGGTTCATAAGATCGAGTCCCATGGTGGGTCCGTGCTCACAGCAGAGAGCCTGCTTGGGATTCTCTTTCTCTCTCTCTCTCTCTCTTTCTCTCTCTCTTCCCTTTCTGCCCCTCCCCTGCTCTCTCTCTGTCCCTTTCTCTCTAAATAAATAAACTTTAAAAATTAAAAAAAAGTGTTCTTCATCCTAATCTTATTGCAGTAGTTGTTTTTCTCTTTAGATCCTGGTGAATGGAACCATTTTTGCAAGAATGTCTCCTGGGCAGAAATCTAGTCTTATTGAAGAATTTCAGAAATTAAAGTAGGTATTATTGCACGAAAGGAGAGTGTATTCATTAACTATTGCTGCGTAACAAATTAACCCCACATTTAGTGGCTTAGAATAACACCACTTATTATTTTACATTCCAACGGGTCAGAAAGCCAGGTGTGCCGAGCTGAGTCTTCCGGCTCAGGCCTCTCACAAGGCTGCAGTTGGGTGTTAGGCAGGACTGCAGCTACCTCAGTGCTGGAGGAGGAGGGACCCGCCACTGGCCTCCCTCACGTGCTGTTGGCAGGATTTTTTAGTTCCCTGTAGCTGTTGGACAGAAGCCACCCTCTGCTCCTTGCTACATGGATCATTTCATAAGGCAGCTCATAGTGTGGTAGCTAGCATCCACAAGAGTGAGCAAAAGAGAGACGGAGAGAGATCACCATTTTTTATATCCTCATCTCAGAAGAGACATCCCATCACTTTTGCTGTATTCTCTTTATTAGAGACACGTCACTGAGTCTAGCCCACACCCAGGGAAGGGCTTTATATAACGTCTTGAACACCAGGAGATGGCAATCATAGAGCCATTTTGGAATCTGCTTACCCCATACAGCATTCCTTCTGTGGCCCATACAGCATAACTTAAAGGAAGATCCTCTGCTTGGATGTGGGGAAGAGAAAAAATAAGGGCTTATATAGCTCAGAATGAGAAAAATGAGGAAGTGTGTGGGTCATCCCCTGGAATTATTTGAGGTTGGTCCATTAGAAGATATGTGAATGATTCCAGGACCAGTAGGAAAGAGGTGGAATGATAGTCTCACTGTATCTGGCCCTGGCCATGGTTTGGGTATGGAGGCCAAAGAAAAAAAAAAAAAAAGTCCTTTTTTTTTTAATCTCCTTCAAAAATATAGATAACCATGTACATCAGAGTGAAATGGTTCTTCTTGAGACCAGACCTACCTATAATTTTCTGGGAATGTTATAATTTCTGAGCTACATATTTCCAGAAAGTGAAAAGGAAAGAGAGTAGTGAAACTTCAGATAATTACTGTCAAGTAGTAGCTAAAATCAGGAGACTGCCTTTCACTATTTTGTGTTGCCAAAACATTCTTAGGGAAGTTTTAAAAAGAATGCCTATCAACTCCCATAATGCCTTGAGGCTGGGTTAGTAGCCAGTGTTTAAGTGACTATTTTACTTACATGGTCATTATATGATAATAGCCGAAGAAAGTAATTTTACCCATCTCAAATGCCTAAGAAATTTTGCCAATTTATATGCTTACTTTTGAAAAGCTATAGTCCCTTAAAGAAAAATCAATTCAGGAAAATATGCTGTCTCGGAATGAACTGTCTTCTTGATTTCCCCATCTTATTCCTCCTGACTTTATCACTGACAATGCACATAAGGTTGTCTGAGTTGTCTTCTGAATTCAGGGAGCACTTGAAGATGTAAGATTCTTTGTGTGATATAAAGACTAAATATGTGATTTGAGCCTGAAGAAAAGGACCCACTTCAGCAAATGTACACAGTCATGACATGCGTGAGAGCCCATGAAGTGTTTATAAGAATATTTTCGTATATACCTGCCAAATATTGGGTTGAATCTTATGAGTTTGTTTTTGACCATTTTTGACTTATAAAAATGACCATCTCTTATGTGTCAGCTAATCATAAGGAAACTGTCCAAGAACTTTATTTTTTGCCTGTATTGGTTTTGTTATTACTCTTCTATTCATGCTGTGGTGTTTGCACACCAAACTGGTAGCGATTAGGAGCATATGCTCTCATATCACTCCAGAATGCCTCAAGATTATGTGTATATGCTTTTGGTTCTACCTGTTCAACCATTTCCCAAAGGTTTCTCATCCTAATGTCTAAACTTCCAGTGGCATCAGCCACCAAAAAACACAGATGGATCAGGTTATTCGGTGCATCAGGTGTGGGAAGTGCTGTGATTATGGCTGCACACGCTTAAGCTTAGCCCTGATGGATACAATCACCCAAGACTTGTTTTGAAATGTGTAATCTTCTTGGTGGCCGTCCTTGGCAAAATCACTGTCATTTCCACATGGTGGAAACAACTTAAATACAACAGCCTTATTCCTCTGGGGCTATTTCTCTCCAAGTCATTTGCCACGAGCTTGATGCCACGTGTGTTCAACACACACACATACATCACGTGTGAGTTGGTTGTGATGAAAATTACCCAAGAGAGGCGTTAAGGCATTAATGTTTTTTATCCGTCCCCTGCAGTTACTACGTGGGCATGTGCGGAGATGGAGCTAATGACTGTGGGGTGAGTAGAACACATGAGTAGTAAAGGCCGAGCGAAGGAAACGTTTGAAACGGATGGTTTAAAGTGTTGAATTATGTATAAAATCATGTATGCATATCAGTGAAATCGCAGACCAAACTATGTGGCTATGACAAACTACAGAGAGGCCTAAATTAAATAATTCTCAGCAGGTGCCTTCCCATACACAAGAGAAAGCAGTACGTGTTTTAGACTCTGAGCGTTGAAGATATGGTTGAAATAATAGCCCACCTTGAAGATTTATGTGCATAAGCAAATTTTTCAGCACAAAAATCTTCAGCACAAAACTGAACGAGATTGCTTTGTATTTCCAAAGCCTACTAGATCCTTAGGATCTGGGTAGTTGTGTTCCTCTCTTTTTAAATATTTTCGTCTAAGTTCTGTGAAAAATTGTGTTCACGCTTAGAGATCTATTATGAATTTTTCTACCTTATGCGTCACGAGAAGACGCTCGTTGTTAGTCTATGCTTCAAAACCTAAAATGAGTTATCCATTCCCATAATTATGTAGAAATTAGAACAAAACAAATAATAAGTGCTTAAAAAGGACATAGTCTCTGCCCCCTAATATTCATTATCTAGTGGTGGAAAGAATCATGCATAATATTAACCCAAACAGGGGCCCCTGGGTGGCTCGGTTGGTTAAGCATCCGACTTCGGCTCAGGTCATGCTCTTGCAGCTCGTGAGTTCGAGCCCTGTGTCAGGCTCTGTACTAACAGCTCAGAGCCTGGAGCCTGCTTTGGATTCTGTGTCTCCCTCTCTCTCTGCCTTTCTCCCACTCATGCTCTGTCTCCTTCAAAAATAAATAAACATTAAAAATTATATATTAACCCAAGCATAAAACAGATGATCTTAAAATATGTAATAGAGATACAAAATACTAAGAGCGAATAGAGGGAGAAGGAAATATTCTAATGTGTATTGAACATGAATTTAGTATGTGCCAGCTACGGTAAACAGATGCTTTGCGGTTCTACAGAACTACAGAACTACGAAATCTCATTTTATGCTCACACAATTCTTATGGGATTAAAAAATTGACTCTGGCCTGCTTATTGGCCACTGTCTGCTCTATGCTCTCTCTGGGCCGTTTCGAATCTTGCGACAATGAATTAGCCTTTATTTTAGTGAGGCAACACAGGTCCTGGAAGGATGTGTGATAAGTACGATTTGGTCCCTGTCTCCAGTGAAGATGCTGTGAGCCCCGTACCTCGTCCCAACAGTTAACTGGTTGGCTATATCAGGCAGCCCAGAGATAGGTGGGGATTTGATATCTTTTCCTATCGTTCGTGAAGATGGTCTGCTGAGTGTAAGAACTGTGATGAGGAAGACCCCCACACATACCCATCCAAATGCTATCACCTTTTCAGTTGACTTCTTGAATGATTCCTTCCTTTTGCTTATCATCACATCTACATCCTCACAAGCAATGCACACACATGCATATGAACGCACGCACCAGTCTTTTGCCCCAGGAGCATCGTTTAGCTGGCGCCTCTTTGGTTGATGACTTTCTGGATCTGGAGGGGGATAGTACTCCATGTGGAGAGACAGCATAAACAGACACCCAGGGCTGGAAGGTTACAGGGTTATAAACTCAATAATGTGAAGAATAGCTCATGGTGTTCAGTTAGAACATGGCCCGAGGAGTCATGGATTTATCCTTCTAGGATAAATGTGGGATATCCTTCTAGGATAGTAACGTGGATTTATCCTTCTAGGCTTTGAAAATGGCTCATGCAGGCATTTCACTGTCAGAGCAGGAGGCATCTGTGGCCTCCCCTTTCACCTCGAAAATAGCCAACATCGCGTGTGTGCCTCATCTCATCAGGTAAGCCACTAGTTCCCTTCCACCCTCATGACCGACGGGCTCATTGTCTGGCTCTGTACAGAATTCAACCACAATTTAAAGTGATAAATGTCACACAGAGGTATGGGTACAGTGCTATCCGAGCACCAGTTAAGGGGCCATTTGTGCTGCTTGGGAATGCTGGTAAAAACCACAAAAAGTGACCTTTGCCGAGGCTGAAAGGATGAAAGGCTATATTGTATGGACAGTTGAAAGGTAGAGTTGATATTTAAAAACTGCATTTCTTACTTCTCTCCCTTATCTTGTATGTTGGGTGCTTACTGGAACCTTCCTCCTGGGGATTGGGAAGGGTGAGGCAGCACAAAGAAAACACTCCATCACATAGCGTCCCCAGATAATGTTATCTCTCCAAGATACCAATCAGCAAATATCCAAAATGATCGCAAGACTTTTACAATCGAGGGAAGGGGAAGGAATTAAAGACCATTTTTTTGTCAAGATAGCTCCCTCACCTCCATTCTGCTCTCATTACTGATTTTCATCTCTACTCATAGTTTAAACATAGTTAAGAATAAAACGTTAGGTTTTATATTTTGTTCACAAATCGTACTCTTCTGTTGCTCCCTATAACACCACGGGGTAACTTTAAGCCATCTTCACAGCCAGTGGTTTGAAAGACATCCCTGAAACTTGAAGTGTATTCCAAAGGGATGAACATGAAGTTCTCCAGCATGTCCCCTGGTGCATCTGTGCATCTGAATGGGCACCTACTAGCAGGAGTTACTCACCTAAAGGTGCTAGGCTTGAAATTCTATGCCCGTGTCTGGTTGCATAGCAAATAGCTTGACACATCTCTCTGAACTCGGGGTGCCTGCCCCTGTGTCCTTCCACACCCTCAAACATCAGTAGCTCTCCTGCCTCCAGAGCAGAAGACTCCTCTTCCTAACTCCCATGTTCTCTGCTTCTGAGGACTATCTGGTCCTTAGAGCCCTCAGAACTTCAGAGAAATCTGAACTCTCTCCTTTATCCGTAGCCAAGCAGGCATTATGTTTTACTGGATTGTCTTTGGGAGACTGTCTCCAAGTCCTCTCCTTACTCTCTACTGCCTTAAATTTGGTTCCTAGCCAGTGACTACGAAATGAGAGTGCCCAGGACCCTGTCCCTACGTCAATATAACTCATGGAGCTTTTTAAAATATTGTGCTTGGAAATATGGTGGATAAAGGATGAGACAGATTTTGTCCTGGAAGACTCATGTTCCAGTAAAGGTACAGAGAGATAGAAATATAATCACAAAACAGAGAGTCATCTGCCTGATCAGTGAGAAGTGCTGAACAAATTAGTTTTAAAAAAATTAATGCTCAAACAATATGGTAATTGTTCCAGTAGTTCCGATTGGTAACTCAAGCCAGGAGGGAAGGTTTTAGGAGGGGAATTGGGACTTGAAGGATGGATAGGAAGTACGTAAATGGGAAGGAGGTGGGAGAACATTCCAAGTGGGAGAAGTGGAGAGCCACATTTAGAAATGGGATTTTAACTGGAGAGTGTAGAGCCCAATAGCCCAGGCTTCTCAGCCTCCTTAAGTCTCCTGTTGGGAGGCTTCTCAGATGGGAGTTATGGAGGGTAAGCTGGAGCAACAGGTGTGGAGGGAGTTTAAACTCTTGGATGGTTGCACAAGTGCCTATTTGGTCCATCTGAGAGGCAGTGCAATTTGAACTTCAGATGCTGTCTCACACACATGGCCCAATTCATTTGTGAATGGAATGCAGTGTTTTAAGATACACATCATGGTGTAAAATTTCTCTAGTGGCAGATGGTTTAGTAAGACTCAAGGTAGAAGCTCTTTGCTTTTTTATTTCCTAGATTCATAAAAATTAGATACGGTTCAGCTCTGTTAGGCTCATTTTACCCTTGCTATCCTTGATGTATGCTTATTTCTGAGAAAACATCCTCCAGAGGGGCAGCGAGGTACAGTTTTAAATGCATAGGTCCACAGGTTTTCATTTGTATCTTTTGAAACATGACTGACTTCCTGCTAGAGTGGAAGCCTTTTAGGATAAGGACTGCACCTTATTCATTTCTGTATTATTGTGCCCAGCACTAAGCTGGACACAACAGAGCATTGGATGAATGTTTGTAGGCTGCATAAATAAATGAATTGGCTTCTTAAAATTCATAATTATAGGAGTAATTTTGGAGACCCATACTTTATTTAGAATGGCTTCTTGAGCCATTCACAAAAGGAGAAAAAGGATGAAACCACCAAGTTCATGTCAGAAAACGGTCTAGGCTTCACATGCCTACCCCACTCTCAGCTTGTCTGCTGCTGCACCCTCTGTGCTGAAAACAAATGTTAGTGCCTCACAGCCTGGTGGAGAACATCTGCCCAACGCATCCTGGCCCATCCCTCCCAAACATTCTCATCCTGCCTGAGCGCAGGTGGTTATTAGTTTGTCTTTTAAGGTTTTCCTTCTCGAGTCCCCATTTCATTGACAAAGGCTTCAAGTAGCACTAATGCCCATGTCAATGTGGGGTGGTGGTGGTGATGGTGGTGGTGATATGGGCTGCCCCCCATGTGAATTCGCTTCTGCTTTGATGAGAGCAGGCTGCAGGAAGGGTTGTTTGCCAAGTTCACCATCCCTCCATCACGTGTTCCTGCCTCGTGTTGTTGTCTTCTTTGGCCTGTCATAACCCACCACCACACCAAGCCTCAGTTAAGGGAAGAGCAGCCAAACAGGATTTTTCAAGGCAGGGTGGATATTTGCTTTTTAACCTGCGGTTTTTACTGTTGTCTTTATGTCTTTTGAAGGGCACACCAGCTCAGATTATTACCATGGGTTCTCCCTGGAGTATGGAAACCAACAAAACCCAATTCATCTCACATATTGGAGTCACACCCACACTTCCTAACATGCAAAAGCACCTGTCCTTTAGCTTAATGTCTCCACGGGACTCCAAAACATACACACTTCAGTTCTCAGAAGCCTGTTGTTAGGATGTAAAGAGTCACAGCTGAGTCAATGCTTGACATTTTGTATCTCATCATAATGTCATGTGTTTCTAATATATGTGTTAATCTTTTTAATTCACTGAAAATAAAGACTGTGCCTGATTCATTTATATCCTCCATGACTCTTAGCACAATGCTGGTACCTTATAAGCCCTAAATAAAAGTGAGTGAATGAGTGAGGTCATGATAGAAGCTGAAAATGAATGAACAGATGAGTGTTTCAACAAATAATTGAGACGATGAATCATTGATTAAGTGAATGTATATCAACAAGCTATTAAATTTGAACACCCTTTGAAATATAAAAGACTGGGAGATGTATATTATGCATAACCAGTTATTTTTATCTTTTCTTAAACAGAGAAGGCCGAGCTGCTCTGGTTTCATCCTTTGGGGTATTTAAATATTTGACCATGTATGGCATAATCCAACTTATTGGTGCATCACTGCTCTATTGGGTATGAACCAAAATAATTTCTTCCCAGTTTTAATTGCATTTACATACTTGGTTTGTTCTTGGGGGTGTGGCTCCTACACAGGATTTAATGTTTTATAAATAAATGACATTTCTCAAAACGGATGACTGCAAACTTGGGAACTTGGCATAACTGCACACACAGCATGGAGCTAGAAATAAGTAGCTAGAGATCAGTTTTCTAGCAGTGCTGTTTTCTTCTAGATAACCTAAGATACTTGACCTCTTCAAGCATTTAGTTCTCCACTTGGAGTACGAAGAGAACTTCAGAACAGCGTAAATACAACTCAACAAGAAGTCGGTCTCCAACTATGGGCAAAAGACTAAGAAGAGATAAAAAGAAAGAGAAGTTCTGGAATTTGACCTTAAAGGGCTCAAAAACTAGAAAAACTCACATATTGGAGCTTTACTTCTGAACTCGCCCAGAAGTTAGACACATAGACATGTCTTTAGTAAAGGATTAGCATTTAAAAATAAAAAAAAAAGACTTGCAATTAAATGATAAAAATAATCACTTACAAATAATCACTTACAAATTAAATAGCTATATGGAAGAGATATGTATAATTTGAAAATCTTCATTATTTCAGTCATAACTTGCTCTAGAGTAAAATGATCCAACAGACTCAGGGAGCGCTTCAGAGAGCATTTATTACTATACTGCTTTCCTGGGACATTTGAGACATGAATGAGGACCACAGGTTTCTAACATCTGGTGGGCTATCATGCACAAGAATCAGACACAGAGGGCTAAGGGGCAACCAGGTGGGTAGAAACAGAAACTGGACTGGGAGTCAGAAAACCTAGATTCAAATTCTGCCTTTATCACTAAGAACATACTAGATCTTGCCCTTGGCCAAGCCTTTATATGCCTCTGGGAGGTCAGGCTGGCAGATCCCCATAGTTCTATGAAAACTGCTTCCAGAACAAATACTGAAGCTGCCTGTGAAAATTCCTCCCTGTTTCATGTCACCCTGCCTATATATAACTGCACCATTCTGAGGGGGAAAGAAGAGGAAGGATGGGAGAAAGAAATGTAAAGAGGACAGAGAATTAGAGGATGAGAACCACTGGGAACCCTTTATGGAGGATGAGGAATCATTTGTATCTTCTTAAAAATCTGAAATATTTCTCAGTTCAAAGTCTTCACACACAGAATTGGAATGATAGTCTAGCCTGAAGCCATTCATTCTGATGGTTTAGACCCAGAAAAGAGTGTCCCCCAGAGACCTTAAATTAGAAACTTCAAGGCCTTGGGTTCACACTCTAAAAATCCAGAAGTATTTCTCATTTGCATAAATCTGGTCTATAATGGCTCAGACCAGGTTATAAGTTAGTGCTCAGTCAGCAGCTATGAAGCACATAAACAGACCTGGCTGCAAAAAGTATTGCAAGGCAAATTTCTGGAGGTTATATGCTGACTTTTATATATGACTCCATAAATGTAAACTTCAAACAACTTCTATGTCTACACAGACCTTAGAAAGTCAAGCCTACCAGACTGAAGTCTGTAATGGGCTTCCTTGGGAATAGTGGCAGTTGTTCAGTTTGTAAAAGTGAATGGACCCCAAGAGAACTATTTGTGAACTCAATCCATGGATAGGATGGAGAGGAACACCTGTTGAATGATTTGAGGCTTGGATTTCAAATGTTTAAGCTTGAAGTTCCCAGCGGGTATCTTATGTCGAGAATTCAAATGTCCAGGCTGAGACTACAGCTGTCAGATTACTGTGGCCAAAGCCTGGGTGTTTCCCAACGGACTGACTCTTGTTGCTAACATGGAATTAAGTTAAACACTGGGAAAATAGTGATCTGGCTTCATTATCTACAATGAGATGCTAAAGATCATAGGTAAGTTACTTTCTTTTTAAGGAGGAGAGAAAAATAACAGTTGCTTCCTGATTACGTTCAGAAAGAGAGTTGGCAATAATAAAAATGCTACAATGGCAGAAGCAACATTTATATTTACTTTTATTTCCTTTCCAGCAGCTACAGCTCTTTGGGAATTACCAGTATCTCATGCAAGACGTAGCCATTACCTTGATGGTCTGTTTAACAAGTAAGTACTTCAGCAAAATAAACAGCATTATTTGTATTTATTTACCCATGACATTCTAGAAATGCTCATACAAATAAAAGCTTTTGAGAAAGATACACCTTTACTACTGAAACCACTGTACTTGTGAATTTTTTGAAAGAGGCGTTGGCAGTAAGTGGAGGCTTGAAGTCCTGAGATTTGGCACTAAAACATCCTGATAGCAAATAAGTCTTAGCTTCATAAAATGGTCAATGTATTCTGAGTTCCTTGTAGGTTTGTGTCTTGTACATAGAAAATTGTACAAGAAACCTAGAAAGGGAAATGTTTAAAACCCAAAGGTCACTTTCCATTATTCAGCTATGTTTCACATTGACATGAAACCAGATTTTTGCTAGGTCTTTGACATGTTGAGAACAAATGCGAGCATTTAACTCTAGAAATTCTCTCAAAAGCAAGGTGTGACTCACAGCAGCTACTGCTCATTTCCTTCCTTTGCGATGACACTGTGATAAAGTATTTCTTATCCAAAAACTCAGGGCTTCATACTAACTCTTAATAAGGGAGAAAGGAGACTGCCTCAACAAAGAGCAAAGAAAAAGAATGACATAGTCATCTCTTTTTCCTTGTTCAACAACGGGACTGTTATGAAAACAGATAAAAAAAATCAGACAATGCAGGATATTAATAACCTTGAGAATTTCATGTAGCATCTTAAAACATGAAATGGATACCTCAACCCTGTGGCAAAATTTACCAGTGTCAGAAACATAAGTGACATCAATTTCGATTCTTAGGGTGGAAATGTGTATTTGTAGTCCATTAGCCTATTTTTCTGTGCATTATTAATAATCACACGACTGGAACATTTTGAGTCAATGATATTGCCTTTGCAATGTTGGCTATTTTTAAGCACTTTGTATAATTTACTTGTGAACATGGTCGATGATGCTAAAAGAAGAAGAAAAGAAGAAGAAGAAGAAGAAGAAAAAACCACCAGGAACTTCCAGGAGCTAAGCTAGCAGCAGTAGCACAAAGGTGAAGGCTATGGCTATTCTCCACCACTCCCTATCTCTGAGAACTTTGGCAAATTATGAAATAATTTTCTGACATGAAATGTTCTCATACGGTTGTGATGATCAGACAAAACAATGCATGTGAAGGGTTCAACACAGTGTGTCACGCACTGTAAGCACTCACAGCAAGATGAATGATAGCACCCTGCACCTAATCTCTTTTTCTTCTTTTGAAATAACTGGCTAACTCAGTGAGTCCTTGAACAGAGTTAGAATGCGTACAGCTAGGCTGATTGATTCAAAATCCAAAAACGTGTTTTTTTGGAGTAGTAGTAGTGTTTGTATTTTTCTCCTCTGCCTTCAAACGCCATTGTTTTTCCATCACTGCAAGCCCAATCATCCCACGGGCACATCACTTCCTGGTCAATATCAGGTATTAAAATAATTTCATCTTCAGACATCAAAAGTCTAGGTATCGTAAATTAACATTTCGTGTTTGCATCCAGTTCAAACTTTTTCTTCCTCTAGATCAAACCTGACCTTGAAGCAAGCAGTGGGAGAGAAGGCCATACTCTCTACTTTCCTTGGGCCCCTTGCTCAGGGAACCTTGGAACAACAAAAGCAAATGGCCCTTTATACACGTGGGGGTATTGTAGTTTTGTCCTGTCAAGTACCCTCTAATGTGGCAGGCATCTAAACTTCAGGCAATTGGTATGGGATCACTGGTGAGTTTGGGGGTTTTTCAGATTCCTGTGAATTGCTCTGGACTAGACTCCTTCCTGACATGGGTGGTATTCTCTCCCTCTGACTCCCCAGAATTCCTTTCAACAATTGCCTGCTGGTGGTAAACACCACGAAGACTTTTTCTACTGCTTGGCTCCCTAGCCCCCGCAGACTGCTCCCACTGGGCGGATTCCTTCCAACATAGCCCCAGCCTGGCTAATTTCCATAGCTTCCACTTCACCTAATGGATAGATATGTAGCTTTTTCTCGCTGCTGCCCCCCACCCTTCTCCTCTGATATCGCAACCGAAGGTGGCAAGCCAATCTTCCCCCTCAAGACACATCAGGTCTCTCCTAGAGTAGTTCTTATGACCTCCCCTAATTTTGGATTGGAGTGATGCTAGGAAGATAACCATAATTCTTGCAGCTCTTAACAATTTCCTTTAAAGCATGGTTTTCTCTTATGTATTTGGCACATAGGTAATTGCTGGGGGGTAGGGGCATGGCTACACTTGAAGGACCAGTATGGATACCTCTGAGTGAGTACAACAGAGATATGGCATGATCTCTCTTTACATTCAGTTGGGATTTTATCATTATCAAATATGAGATTCAGTAAAATTCCTCAGACAGAGGAAAAGCCCCATTCAACATCCTCTTAGATGTGTTCATCTCCTACTACATGTTAGGTACATAGGTGTCTGGGGCATGAAAAGACTGATCACTGAAGTATAGAGTTAGTTGGGAAGGGGGCTTCACACAAATGTATGAAGGAAATGAAAGTCAAAAGTAGTGAGTGCCAGAACACAGCAGGTGCTTTGGGAGTTCAGAGAAACGAGAGGTTATTTCTGATAATCTGGGGTTAAGGCAGAGATGGGAATGGAGAAAAGAGAGAAATACTAAGGATGGCTTCATGGAAGAAGTAACATTTGCACCAAAATAGAAAGGATGGACAGATTTCAAAAATCTTTTCCCAAAAGAAGAGCTTTTCAAGTAGAATGAGGCAGCATGAGCAAGAAAGAGCTGGGGAATGAGTTTTTCAATTTGACCACACTGTAGCGTATGTGAAAAGGAACAGCAGGAGATACAATTTGAAAAGATGAGTTGGGTCAGATCATAGAACTTGACTACCAGGTTGAAAACTGTGGACATTCATCTGCAGATGTTAGTAGTCATTGACAACTGGATGATTAATATAAAATCACTCTCACCAAGGCTCTTTTCTTTCCAGGTTCCCAGGTTAGGGTGTTTAACTTCAAGCCTGAATTAGTATGGCACAAAGACAATACCATTGCATATTTAATTTTTTATGCACCTGCTTTCCTAGAACATAGAACAAGGCAGTAGCCTTGTTCTTACAAGATTTTAAGGTAACACAAAGGTAGCTAATAAGACAAGCTATATTAAAGGGGAAATCAAGCAGAATAGTAAAATGAAGTCAGAGAAGTCAATTAAGAAAATGTATGTCTTAAAGCTCAATTTGACCCTAGTAGGTATAGGAGCCATTTTGAAAGGAATTTGTTCTAGCTGCATCTCTATCCTCTTCAACAAAACCCACTCAAATTAGATCAAGAAAATGGAGATAGGGGGATGTTTATGAATATAATTCTCAAAAAAAAAAATCTGAGAATAGAAACTCAGAAGCACCCAGTCCAGAGAAGGACTAGAACACCAAAGAGTGAAAAACAGAGGCCACTTTTTTTATTTCCAAGAAACCATCTTGTCTCCTTCTTCTCCTTTCCACTCTTTTATCTGATTTAAACTCATTCGCCTTGCAAATGACCCTAAATGGTGTCTCTATTATTGAATCTCCATAACCTTTCTGTTTGTCTTTGCACAAATTAGCTCAGCCTTCCGGTGTCTCATTTGCAAATATTTTGGAGAGAAAATTCATTGACCTAACTTGAGTAAGATGTCTACCTTAAGCCAGTCATTTCTGTGAATGAAAATGAGGTCATGTAATTTGGCTCCATTTAGGCCAACCATTTCAGCATGTGGAAGGAGGTACTGTCCAGAGAAAAAGGCTGTAGGAGGGACTCCATCCATATGTAAATGCATCTCTTACATAAATTCCAACATTGCTTCAAAGAATCCTAAATTTTTTTTTTTTTTTTTTTTTTTTTTTTGGTTCTTGGTCCCTTTGGAGAATATCATGGAAGACAGAGATCTTTTCACCTTAAAAGCCTCATGAGGCACATTCAAAATCTTGCATGTGGTTCAGGTGGGTTCAGGAGGCTCTGGAAATTTGAGTTACATGACTTGAAATGTCCATAATATAAAGCAAGCCAACTATTTAGGAGAATCACACCCACAATATATCCAAATAATGCTGAAAAATTATGAGTATCCTTTGAAAATAAAAATTTGAAACTGCTAGGTCCTCCCACATAGCAGGCCTTATACTAATTTCAGTAAGGGACAGAAAATGGTATGAGACTAGATTTCCTCCCTCAATGAGCTCACAGTCTGCTGAGTGCATGTGTCAACGACTAGATTTAATCTGAGACAGCCTCACTACAGGGCAGCAAAATGAGTAATGTGCTGTGGACTCTCAGAGGAGAGAGTGATTAATTCTGAATAAAATATAACACTTCACAAGCTTACATTTCTCTCCATGCAACATGATTGCATATATCAACATCATTTTGAAGAAACCTGGGCAATTCAGAAAAGTTTTTTATCCTTTTTGATTCATGAAATCCACACTACTGTAATATGCTATAGAGCAGAGAATGGGGGGGGCTTTACAGACTTAAGTTTATTTTACCACCCTATTGCTCACAAACTATGGGTCTTTACATAAGGGGCCCTACTTCTCTGAAGCTCAGTTTCTTCACCTGTAAAATAGAGATGAGATACCTATTTTGCATTGATTTTTAAAGAAATAACGTTTAGAGGCACCTGGGTGGCTCCGTCAGTTGAGTGTCTGACTCTCAATTTCAGTTCAGGTCATGATGTCACAGTTTGTGGGTTCGAGCCCAGCATCGGGCTCCTCGCTGACAGTGCAGAGCCTGCTTGGGATTTTCAGTCTCCCTCTCTCTCTGCCTGCCCCCCCCATTGGCTCTCTGTCCCCCTCTCTCAAAATAAATAAACATTAAGAAAAAAAAAAAAGAAATGATGTGTATAAGACACATAGCATAGCCTCTGGAACATAGTAGGGGCCCTGAAACGCTAGTCGTTAATTTTATAGTCAGATAATACACATTATCAGAAAGTATTAGGGTTTCTAATATGGGAAAAGTTAAAATATTCTTTATGTTAGGACTCTATCAATCAGCTATTACCACATTATTACTGTATAACAAACTTCTCCCCAAAACCCGGTGGCTTACAATACCATTGCTCTGTAGATAGACTGTCAGCTGGTCTAGGTCAGCTGAATCTGATCTGTTTTAGGAGGTAGATCAGTTGGTCTTGCCCCAGGTTAGGGGTTTCATTCAAGTCAGCTCCACAGTTTTAATTCTGGAGCCAGGCTGGCCTAACAGACCTGAGCATGATCACAGAGAGTGAGCATTGCCATGCAAGCAGGCCTCAAACCTCTGCTAACATCTCTTCGGCCAGAGAAAATCACAAAGCAAAACCAAAATTAAAGGGTGGTAAAGTGCACTCTACCACAATGAGGCCAATAATTCAATCTAACACAGTCTCTGTGTGAAAGAAAAGTCAGAAGCTCAGTGAGCATCTGAGAAAGAGAGCACCGGAGAGCAGAATACACAGAGATGCAATTAGACTTCTCTCCATTATCCACAGCCTACTTAGTCATTTGGTGGCCATCTTCTTCCTTGAGTGCAGGAACGTGGGAAGAACTAGAAACACTGTAGCCTCTCTGCCTTCTGTGGCCCCAGGGCACAGTCTCCTTGCATTGACCACAGTCCACATGGTGCCCCTTCCTTGCGTGCCATGCAATGACTTCTCACACCAACCATCCAGAGTGAGACCAGACTTTACCACTTAAGGGCACAGCCTCCACAAGACTGCCCTTACTTTAGACCTCAGCCATAAGTTTGGGGGCCCCTATGACACCCACAAGTCTGATTAGCTGGCTGCAAAATTGGGGGGTTCTTCTTCTCCGCATAGGTTCAGTGATTCATATCAACAAATCAAAGAATTCAGGGAAGTGCTATACATATGATTCCAGTTTTATTATAGCAAAGGGATACAAATCAGAACCAGCCAAAGGGAGAGTGAGGTCTGGTGGGAGGATCCCCACACATCCATTGTCCTCTTCCTGGGGTGTCAGTTTGCCTTATCCTCCTGGCATATCAATGTGTGACAATATGCAGAGGATTGCCATACAAGGAAATCCACCTGAACTTTGGTGTCTAGAGTTTTTATTGGGGTTTCATTATTTAGACATGATTGGTGGAATCATTTGCCATGAAGTTGATCTCAATCTTTTTATTTTTCAAATTTCTTTTTTTTGAGTTTTAGTTTTGAGAGAGAGAGAGAGAGGGCAAGCAGGGGAAGGACAGAGAGAGAGAGGGAGAGAGAATCCCAAGCAGGCTCTGCACTGCCAGCACAGAGCCTGATGTGGGGCTTGAACTCATGAACCACGAGATCATGACCCGAGCTAAAGTCAAGAGTCGGATGCTTAAACCAGCTGAGCCATCCAGGTGTCCCAAGTTGATCTCAACCTTTGGTGTCATGGCACCTATATGCTGGATTATCATTTTATCACCAACTCTCTTTATGCCTGCCATCTGTCATCTTATTTGCATAAACCATCATTGCTATCATGAATAAAGACACTCCTATCAACTTAGGAAATCCCAACAACTTAGAGGATACATCCCAGGAACTGGGAATAAAAGCCAACCAAATTCTTTATTACAACCCGTCTTTGTCTTCCATTAGACTTCAAGTTCTTTGGGGCAGATGAGATGACCTCCTCATCTGTGCATACTTCACACCTTGCAGCCTAGCACTGTCCCAGGGAAATATTGATTAAATTGGTAAAGGTAAAGCCTTAGGTGCACCTGGGTGGCTCATTCAGTTAAACCTCTGACTCTTGGTTTCAGCTCAGGTCGTGGTCTCGCGGTTTGTGAGTTCAAGACCTGCATCAGTCTTCATGCTGACAGTGCAGAACTTGCTTGGGATTCTCTCTCCCCCTCTCTCTCTGCCCCTTCCCTGCTCACTCTCTCTGTCTCCAAATGAATAAATAGATAAATAAATAAATAAACTTAAGCAAAAAAAAAGGTAAATCCTTAGATAGTCATAGAGCTTTAGAGTAAAAGAGTTGGAAGAGACTTTGGAGATCATTTAGATATTCCAACACATTCATTTTATACATGAGAAAAATGAAGTACCAGAGGGTTCAGGTGATTACCCAAGAACCCACCGAGCAAACTGAAGACCTACTTTAGAGTTTTATCCTCCCAGACTGGACACCTGCTCCTACCACCCTACCCCTTCATTCATGAACACAAACCTCAGCATACACACTCTACTTTCTTCCTTACATCAAAGAAACCAATGATTTGCTATGAAAAAGGGAAAGGTATCAGCTATGAAGACAAGAAGTGAAACACGACTCTTGTGTAAACCTTTGATGTAATGTATCTAATTCCTGACTTTTCCATGCTTCTTCCCTGCACTGCCCTAAGAAGTAAAGTACATTCCATTTTCAATAGCTTGTTAGAACATATGGCTCCTAAGAAGGATGCAGTCTGTTGTTTTTGTTGTTCTGTTTAATCTCTGCCTATCGCCTATCCTTTAAATTAAAAAAAATACATAAACTCTAGGATCAAAGCTATAATACATTTTAATACTCTCATCTGGAAGCAAGACTGTTTTGAGTTATTTTTCCTAACCAAGCTTAATACACTCTAGCAGTTCTCCATTTACACACTTATCCAGCAGGGAACAGAACACACCTCTAGCATCTATCCTGGTACACTGAAGTGCTCAGAGAATGTTGGAGGAATGAATAATAAAATCAGTACTTAGATAATCTCCAGCATATGAAGATTAATCTAGCCTGATGCTTCTTACTCTCCTTATCTTAAACTCTCTGCCTTCCTACCAGCACTGAGAGATCATAGTACTGCTTATCCATGTGGAAGGCCACCTTTCTATTTTACATACCTTTCCTGGTCGTCTTGTGAAGAAAATATATGCACCATGAAATATGGTAACTGTATTATTTATAGAGCTTTTAAACCTATTACTTTTTGTTTCTGAAGGTGAAACAAAAGCAGGGAAGAGGCAAAGGCTGGTAGCATTGGATATACGCCAATGCTTATATACATGTGCTTCCCTAGATGTAAACCCTGAGTTCATGGTTGCTGAATCTGAATCCTAACGGAAGTCTCAAGATAACAGGCATCTCAATCTTCTATTGTCAATAATGAAACCATAATAGGGGAAAATGCATTTGTCTTTCAGTGAGTTCAACTCATGCCTACCCCAAACTGGCTCCTTACCGACCGGCAGGACAGCTCCTCTCTCCCCCTTTGCTGCTCTCAGTCTTTTTGAACACCTGTTTCACCTGCATTGTGCAAATCTGTGCATTTCTCTATGTGAAGCAGCAGCCCTGGTATTGTGAGGTCTACAGATACAGGTAAAGTTCAGTTTTTTTAGTTTTCCTTTCTGAAGGTGATACAACGAGTGCCCAATGTCACTGTACAACTTGGTTGAACATACACCCTAAATTTTTAATTAACAACAGTTGGGTCTCCGGGGTTCTATGCTACCAGTGTCAGGATAGAACACCAAACACAGTTAATAGGTGGAGTCCTGGGGTGAGCCATGTCATGGGGGGCGGGGAAGATCTTCACATTGGTTGTTAATGTGTAGACTAAATGTGTTTACCAAATGAATGCATTCATTCCCTGGTGGTTTGGATATCATATAGACCAGAGGTCAGCAAACATTTCTTACATAGGGCTAGACAATAAATACTTTAGGCTCTGTGGACTAGACAGTGTCCGTTGCAATTACTCAGTACTACTGTTGTAGTGAAAAGCAGACATAGACAATCAATAAAAAGTAGGTGTGACTATGTTCCAATAAAACTTTATTTACAAAAAGAGGTGTTGAGTTGGATTTGGCCTATGGACTTAGTCAGCTGGCCCCTGATTTACAAGAGAGATTGGCTTAAATTAGCTTGAGTTTTTCAAAAGAATGTTAAAATTAAAACGTTTGTTGATGGTATCATTGTTCTCATTGCTTTGAACACTAGACTCGGGGCAAATTTTTACCACCCCGGGTTTTAATTTCTGTAAGGATAAATTAAGGGTAAAATGTGGGGAACTATACCATAGGTATTCAAACTATTGTCTTCTGAAAAGGCCTGCCTGACCTCCAAAAGGAAAGGCAGAAAAGGGGCTGCTCTTTTTGAGGTAAGGCTTGGACAAACTCCCCTTCACAGACTCCATGATGCTCCTGAGGCACCGGAGCCCCAGCAACCAGTGAAAGATTGAAAACTACTAAATGATGTCTAAGATTGCCATTTATACCCTAAATTCAGCAATTCAAGTATTATTGCTTGGAGTAGAGAATTCATTTTTGTCTCAAAACCATATTTTTCTCCTCATCGGAAGGCATATATTCAGATAAGTAAAATTCTGAATCTGGGAGACAAGCAGGGATAGCTAAATGGATGATGGCTAGGTAGTCCTGCCTTTATCACTAACCATGCAACACTAGACCTTAACTCTCTTATCTGCAATGTAAGTATAACAGATTATTTTTGTGTTAAACTCTATAATTCAGGCCTTCTGGTCTATCTGTCCCCTTTGTGCAAAAACATTTTGTGACTACTGATTATTTGTTTCATTAATGTACTCAGCAAACATTAATTGAACATCTACCATATGCCAAACACATTGCGGGACCCTAGGGAACCAAAGATATTAAGACTTAAGTCTATTTATTGGGAACTAATTTCATCTATAAACAGTTACAAGAGTAAAAAGTTTCAAGCTGAACAAGAAAGCTGATACAAACTAATTTGTGAGTTTGGAGATTAAAAAAAATAAACATTGCAAATAGATCAATCTGGACTGGGAAGGCTCATCTTTTAAACAAATGTTTTTCTGAGCAACTATTCTGTGGCATTTCTGTGCTAGGTGTTAAGGCATTGTAAATTTGGGTAAAATCACAAAGTAAACCCAAAAGAGAAATTCCATATTCAAGGAACTCTCATCCCAGGGGTGGAAAATAAAAACATGTGAATGAATAATTGCAGAACAATGAGCTAAATACAGCACTAGAAGCAAGAACAGAGAGCAGTAGGCAAACTTTCCAGTGAACTAAAGACAACAGAGGGATGGAGACGGAATAGAGTATTCGACCCAGGCGTGTGCAAACTGTAGTACTTGGGGATCAGAAAATTTTCCTATGTGTTTGGAGTATAAGGAGCAGAGGAGGGCTGGCAAAAGATAAGGGCAGGAAGCCAGATTCGAAGATTTCTGGGCTTGCCTGAGAAGTTGGCGTTTAATTTATTAGCAAAATAGAGCCACTGACACTCAGAAACAAGAGAGGGTCATTCTTGGATCCTCAGGAAGAGAGTGATATGGAGCAGGCAGATTCATACTCAGGACCTAAGGTAGTAGGCTTATATTAGTCCTCAGAAGAGAAAACAACACATACATACTCTCTCTCTCTCTCTCTCTCTCTCACACACACACACGCACATGTGCCCACCACAACCCTCCCCCAACATGCACGAATGCACACACATGGGCAGCCATGGTTCATTTGTTCTGAACTGAAAGGAATTTCATAGAAAATTATCATCCAAGCCCTTTCAACACAAATCACTTGTTCTAAATGGAATGATAGACAAAGAATAATTTTGACTTGTTCTAAATGTTATTTCTGCTTTGTCATTGCAAGAGGTGAACAAAATATGTCTTGGTAGTTACTGGCTGGGACAACCTGAAAGCTGAGACCCCATGGCAGTGATAAACTTTTTTTGTTTTCCCGCCACCTGGATAAAAATAGAATAGAAAATCCCATAAATGTTGGTGATTCTCTTGTAGTAAGTGCTTTCTGGACAACCAAAGTAATTTCTCAATGAATATGAGTTTGGAGAGAAATGGGACTGAAAGTGCAACGCTGATTCCTGGTTCAGTTTTAAGTTTTGAGAGTACCACACTGTGGCCCCTCACCACCATCAACTGTATCACAGCAGCGTTTATCTTCTCTAAGGGAAAGCCATTTCGAAAACCCATCTACACAAACTGTGAGTATATGAAGTTTAATTTTCCTTCCATCTCCCCACCCTCCCCAGAGTTGCAGTTCAGTGGTAAAGTGATGGCTGAACTCTGGAATGAAATATCTACAAATGGTTGTATAATGCTTTTGTGACTTGCTCTCATTCTTACAAGCTCTCCCTCTAGTTATCCACCATTTTTTTTTTGTTATTTTCTTTCACTTTCTGTATTTTCTCAGCTTTAGCTTGCAATTAAAAAAGAGGGGTGCCTGGGTGGCTCAGTAGGTTAAGTAAGCGTCTGACTTCGGCTCAGGTCATCATCTTGCAGGTCCTGAGTTTGAGCCCCACATCAGGCTCTGTGCTGAGCCTGGCGTCTGTTTCAGATTCTGTCTCCCTTTCTTTCTGCCCCTCCCCCACTTGCACTCTGTCTCTCTCTCCCAAAAATAAATACACGTTAAAAAATTTTTTTAAATGTAATTCCATTTAAAATGTTTTTTTTTAATGGAGTATTGAAGTATAATTTTCATGAGTGGTAGAAACCTGGGCAGGAAACTCCTTATGTGCAGATACACACATGCATTATTAAATAATTATGAGTCCTGTCCTGTTGTGAGTCATCAAGAATGATTTTGAGTATATATATCTCTCCAGATACTTTGTAAAAGACTTTTCTAACCAATTCAGATACAACTTGACCTCTTTGTAGCTTCACAACATTGGGCAAGTTACTTTATTCTGTGCATTTCTTGAATCACCACTGAGGATGAACACATTTTCATGATTTTAGCCATCTCTTCTTCTCTGAATTGCCTACGTACATTTTTATCCATTCTTTTCCAACAGGGTCACTCTTCTATTTCTTATTTATTTGTATGAGTTGTTTATTCCTTTGCGATTTTCTTCCCATTGCCTTTAGGCACAGAGAGGTTTTTCCCATTGCAAAATCAGGTAGATTAGCACTTCCTTGTTTTTTCAATTTCTTTTAATGCTTTTTAAATCTAATGTTAATGTCATCATACAGTTTTAAGTAGAGATCAAACTACTTTATCTAGTCGCTTGTTTTCCCAGCAGATTTTATTACTTAATATTTCTTTTCATCATTTATTTCTCAACTGATTATATGCTACCTTTATCATACCTACATATTCATGTATATTTATGGCTTCATTATATACATAATTTATATTATGTGACTTTTTATATTATATACTCACATATTAATTTATATACAATTAATTAGTTCCTAGACTATCTTTTCTGTCTCATTAACATGCCAGCTTATTCTCGGTCTGTCACTATACTTTAAAAATTATAGTTTCATTTATTTAGCTATAGTTTTATAATAAGTTTTAATAAGCAGTTAGATTGATGTATCTTCATTACTCTTCAGTTTTCAAGCATTTTTTACTTCTCTTTCTTGTTCATCTTTCCAGATAAACTCTAGAATAAATTGTAAGGCTTTTTTAAAATTCCTTGTTTGAATTTTGATACTTTGGGGAAATTTTAATGTTTACATAATTAAGTCCTCAGTTTTAAAGACATACTATATCATGCTTCTCCATTTGTTCATTCTTTATTAAAAAAAATTTTTTTTTAAATGTTTGTTTTTGAGAGAGAAGGGGGCAGGGCAAAGAGAAAGCCGAAGCAGGCTCCAGGCTCTGTGCTGTCAGCACAAACCCCTAGATGGGGCTTGAACTCAGGAACTGTGAGATCATGACCTGAGCCTAAGTCGGACACTCAACCAACTGAGCCACCCAGGCCCCCCAAATTTTATAGCTTTTTGATATCTGCATTTCCTGTTGGATTGATTTTGTGTGTGTGGGTAGTGTTTTGTTAGGTTTATTATTAGGCTTGAAAACTCTGACTTTTTCTTTCCTGGGGAAAAAAAAACCTTTATAGATGTAAATGGTCTATTCTTGACAATTTGCAAGAACCCAGTAAAATAATCTGGCTCTAAATCCTTCCTTTGAAAGAATTGTTTTTTTTTTTTAAAGGACTGATTTGTTACCCTCTTTCTATTATTTTATTTTATTTTATTTTATTGTTTTAATGTTTATTTACTTTTGTGAGAGAGAGAGAGAGACAAAGTGTGAGTTGGGGAGGAACAGAGAGGGAGACACAGAATGCAAAGCAGGCTCCAGGCTCTGAGCTGTCTGCACAGAGCCTGACAGGGAGCTCAAACTCAGGGGCTGCGAGATCATGACCTGAGTTAAAGTTGGACACTTAGCTTATTGACCCACCCAGGTGCCCCAAATTATCCTCTTTTTAAACTGTGTTTTCACATAACAAATTTCCCCCCAGATATTTCTAGTTCATTGAGATTATTGAGTCTCAGCGTAAGATTTTGAGTCGTATGTTCTTATAATGTTATTGCCTTTTATAACTCTTTTAATATTCTCATCCTGTATGTGTTACCTTTCATATATTCTTACAAGAACTATATTTTTGCTGGTTTTCTTTAAAAGACCAGTTCTCGGGGCGCCTGGGTGGCGCAGTCGGTTAAGCGTCCGACTTAAGCCAGGTCACAATCTCGCAGTCCGTGAGTTTGAGCCCCGCGTCAGGCTCTGGGCTGATGGCTCGGAGCCTGGAGCCTGTTTCCGATTCTGTGTCTCCCTCTCTCTCTGCCCCTCCCCCGTTCATGCTCTGTCTCTCTCTGTCCAAAAATAAATAAACTTTGAAAAAAAAATTAAAAAAAAAGACCAGTTCTCAGATTTAATAAATTCTGTATGCTTTCTCTTTTCTAACTTATAAATTTTTTCTTTTTTCATTCTTTTTCTTCCTTCTTACTTTCTCTGAAAACATTGTAATGTTTGAATTGACTTTATAGTGTATTTTCTTTTGATTCTTGTGAAACAAGAAAATCATTCAAGATCAACAATTAAAGTTTGGGCCACGTTCTTTACATTTTCACATGTCTCTAATTATGACTTGATTTCTTCTCTGACCCACCTAGTTTTCAGAACAGAGAGGTTTCCTTTTCAAGTGGAAAGGATTTCGTTTTCATTCCTCTAGTCCTCTTTATTCAACAGTCTGCAAATGGACTTGATTTGCTTTTTTTTTGTCCCAGCTGATGTTTTGAATTTTGTGTTAAATCTCTATGTTAGAAGGGATTTTTCATTAAATTTAGTTAATAATTTCTAGTTTTATTGTCCTGATCAGAGAACCTGGCCTGTAAAATTTCTGCTCTGGGGAATTTACTATAGTTTTGCCATCGTATGGCATAACCTGTAATCTGTAATTTTCTAAATAAGTCATAGATATTAGAAAAGTAAGCCTCATTCCTATTCTTAAACTAGAAACATACCTTTACTATGTTAAACGAGTTTTAGTAATTATTTACCATTCTATTGTCACTACCACACCCCCCCTTTTTTTTTTGGTACAGCTGTTTTTTCAAAGGTTTTGAGAGCATGCTAAGACCTTCCTTTCATTTTATATTTTTTATAAACTTCTTCCTGATTTTCTTATGATATTTTTTAGTTTTGATTCAGTGTTTGATAATGCCCTTGGCTCTTGTCACAACAAATCAAGATTCTGCTTTATGTTTTAAGGTAAATCACTTATAGTCCTTTTTTTGATTGTGAATGTATTTTACAAGGAGGATATGATATATTACATTGGCAAGTACTTTAGTTTGAACAGTAACTACAAAGCTTTTTACATACATTGAATTAAGTGAGAACCGAATTAGTTACATCATAGTGACTTAAAGCTTGTGGGTAAACTCAAGTCCTACATCGAAAATCACTGAAAATCTTAAGTTAAAAACAAGTTTCATAAACAAATATTCTAACAGAATCTCCTAAGTCATTTAGTCTCAAAAGTCCTTGGAACTTTCTATTACAATATCCAGCAATTTTATTTTCAACTCTGTATCTTTCTTGATAGCCTTTGGCAGATCAACTTTATAATGAGATGGTCTAGAAAGAATACAAACTTAATCTTTATGGAAACAGATGTGACTATTTGCAAACCCTTCCCTTCCTTGCAAACAATCTGTAGTGTCTTGCCCAGGACATGTCTTCCCAAATGACGTGTGCAAAAAGAGTACCCTTCTTTCAAGCTTCCTCATCAACAGCAACTGATCTAGGCAGGCAACACTCACTTCCGTTCATCATTATGTTCTCCAATCAAAGCTGAATTACATGAAGGCCTTATAATTTTCCTTCCACACTGGTCATTCGTGTGCCCACCTGGCCTGCTTTTCAGATCATTAGTCTAAGGATGGTGTGATGTGTCCAGCACTCCACTCAGTTGCTGTGACTACCAGGCCTTCGTCAGGATGGATACTTGGGGCATCATCTTCTTCCCAACATCTGGGTCCCTGGAACATGGAAACAATGACATAAATGAAAAATCCACACAGCCATCTCCTGGGCTCTTCTTACCCAGCTGCACACATTATTTTGGGAAATAAGCGATCCTGGTGCCCCTGCTTTTTTTTCTCTCTGCTTCACACCCCTCCCAAGCAAGCCTGGCTCTTCTTCTGGGAGGTGTGGCATCTAGTTGTATATATCAAGTGAAGCTTGGATGAATATGAGGGGGTGTGTAGGTGCACAGGGGTGAAACAGAGCTTTCATGTCTTCACAAAAATAGGGCCAGCTGCAGAGGCACTGTCATCTCCGATTTTTGGTTGGTATAGACCTGTATAGAGTTGGGGGCTGGCAGGCCATAAACCTTGGAATAAACGAGGTAGAGAGAATACAAGAGAACATCCAGTTTGTTTGTTTATAAATTTTAGAGTGTGTTAGGATCCTTTATATCATGGCAACACTGATGAAATCCAATTGTTTGGGCCTGAAGGTGCTAATCTCATCAGAAAACATTTGTAAGGCCCATCTACAAAGTGTGTAAAAGCTCTGTGGATGCAGACGTGGGTAGGGCCGGAGGGATAAAAACAGTGGTGTTGGCACAGTGCATCCTGGGAAGTTTAAGCTTCCTAAAGCAAAGCCATTTGGGCAGGTTGGAGAGAAAGAACCCAGCAGATGTACATGATAGCTCCTCATTCTTTCAATTCAGAGTCCTACAGAAGGGCATACAAAGTCACTTTTAAGTGGTTACAGTCTAGTAGATGCATAAAGGAAGATCTTGCAAAGCAGAGTGTTACATAACCATATGAAAGAAAACTTTGTGAGAGAGGCCTGGGTAGTCCTTAAAAAGAACGTGGTATCTGAATTGGGCTTTTTAAGAAAATTTTTAAGAAAAACTGCCAAGACATAAAGAATATCCGCTACACAGGGTACTTCGTGAACAAAGTCCTCCGTGGAGTTAGCAGGTTTGTGATTTAACCCCCCTCCAACACATAAGAAAGAGCAATAAGAGACTAGAACAGAAAGGCAGATGGAAATTGGATTCCATTCAAGGAAGGCCTTGAATGTCAGCTGAAGACCCTTGGACTTTATTCTCCAGGCAAAAAAGAATGCAATGATACTAAGAGGACTGACCGTTCATCCATTCATGCAGAATTCACCAGACACGCAGTGATAAAGCATTGGGGCTTCTCTGGTGACCCTTCACGTAGCTTGGTCACTGCAGGGCGTCCCGGCCCTCCTGGACTTCTCAGCTGACGTGACTCCTTTATGGAGTGTCCTGTATTAGATCAGCAGTTTTCCATAGCACGCCTTTCAAAGGAAAGATGTGAAGCTGTCACCTTTGTCTGGTAAGCATTAGAACATATTTTAAAACATATGAGGATCTATCAAAACATCTGAAGATATAGCCGATATTTGCCCAACAGAGATAATTGATTCTGCAGTGTGTGCCAAATTATATGAAACATTCGTTTAGCATCTAAAAATAGCGCTTGGTGTTTCTTCAGATATATTCTCATTTCTGCTGATATCTGCCTTGGGCCTCACAGTTTTCATTCTGTTTTCTGACTTTCAAGATATATATCGTGGAATGGAGGTAAGTGGTATTCATTTCCACCTCTGGGGTGACTCATATGTGCAATGGGACCATATTTGCACTGTATTGCAAGTCAGGTATTACCGTATTCTCGCCAACCATTTCATGTTGTCGAGGCTATTCTGACTTCCTAGAGGAACAAATAACTCATCACACGTATGCTAACCTCTGCTTGTTCCCATATCATCTGTATTATCAATCTGGAACATTTATCCTATTCACACCTAAAAATGCTGTTTGGATACTTTATTCATCCATGTTATGCTAATATGATAAATTGATGTGCTAATTCAGTAATTCTTCAATGAAGTGTCGTTTTTTAAACATATAGTAGAAATCCTTTATAATGTAGTTGTAAGGAGTAAGAAAAAGTTGACTTGTAGGCCAATCAGGTTCTGTCTGTCAGACATTGACTATGGGGAGATTTATTTCAGTGGGCATCACTTAATCCAAGGGGTGGTGGGTTAAAATAAAATTTAAGAAGAGGTCATTGAACCCATTCTTAGAGCCAGCATTGTGGGAGAAATGAAAGAGAGGGATTGACTCTTGACTTGCAGTCTATAGTTTTGTTGAGGACATTGTGTCCTATGCGAGTGAAATGATGACATGGCCACCTGGGACCACCTGTGCTTGTAGAGGGTGTAGAGAGAAGTGGGAAGAACACAGGAAGGAGGAGCTCTCACGGGGCCTGTACGCTGTACCATCATGGAGGGCCTCGTGGAGGAGGCTCAACTTGATCTGGGTCCAGAGGATAGGCTGGATTTTGCTAGGTTCCTAGGTAAGGGTATTTCAAACCAGGAGAACAGCCTGAGCACAAGCAGAGAGGGCTGCAAGAATCTCTTTTGTCTTGGAAATGCAAAAGAATGTAACGTGGCCAAAATAAAAATCGAAAGCAAGACTTGTTTCACAGAATGCTTGGAAGATTGGCAAAGCCTGAGTCAACATGCTGTGGAATGTGAGGAAGGCATGGTGTGGCTGGACAAAGGTGGCCAGGGGAGTTTGGGCTTTCTCCTGAGAGCAACAGAGAGTCACGGAAGATATCTGAGCAGGCTTTCCAGCAGGGCTTTTAGGACAGCCTAATTACGTGATGGCAGCCTAATTACGTGATGCTATATGCTTGAGCAGAGAGTCTATGGAGGGAGATGCAGTTAGGAAATGAGAACCTAGACCATTTAGTCACTTACAAGACATTATGAAGCTCCCGAGCATGCTTGGCACTAGCGAGCCCAAGATGTGTAAGGCGTGGGCACAGCTCTCAAGTAGTTCAGAGGCTAGGAGGGAAGACCATCCCGTGGGCAGATAATTCCAAAGCAGTGTGACAAGTGTTTTCCAGGCCAAGGGATGGAGAGGAGTCCTCTCAGATCAGGGCAGGAGCAGCAGAGAGGGGAAGGATCAGGTTCTCCACTACGCTCTGACCCACTGCCAGATCTCACAACGGTCTCCAGACAGCTCTGCACCCAGGTGCTCTGTCTCACAACCCTGAGAAAGGCAGTCTCTACATGAGGGGAGAAAATAAAGCGCAGTAACCCGCTGGGGATGCGAATTGACTGGGGATGAGAATTGCAAGGGGGCAATCAGATGCTGTGGAGGATCTGTGGTTTTAGTCCTAACAACAGCTCAGCCCCCATGTTTGACTTTGGGATCAGAAAGGGGGTTGTGGGAGTAGTCTTTTGCCACTGATGCCAGCATGGGAAGTTGTAGTGTTAATACCTATCAGTTAATCATAATTGGTGGCCAATAGGTACCCTTAAATCTGTAAAAGGAGGTGGGTTGTGTGCGTTCAACGTTGATCAAGCCATTAGACTTAGGGCTGGGAACCTTGGTTCGGAAAGTTTCCACCTAGTATCAAAAGTAACTGGTAACCTCTGTGCCCTTTATGTTTTACTCATATGTCAATTTCACTGAATGAATGAACTCCAAGAAGATTTTAACTTTGGGAGGATTAGAAGTGATGCATTATTGGATGAATGACTTAATCCTGCATCCTCTTACCTCCATTTGAAAAGATAAAAATGAAGAGAGACACACAGCTTCCAAAGTGTTTTGTCCCATGTCTGTGACCCATGGCACATTTTACCGAATGTTTACTCTCAGGCAGTGGAGGAAACACAGGCCAAGAGGCAGTCAGTTCTCATTTGAATTCTGGCTCTGTTTATTGATTGGCTTTGCATCCTTAGGCAAAGCACTGACCTCATCTGTGAAATGGAGAAAGCAATGCCTACCCTCCAAGCTCAGAGAGCTGTTACAAATACATAAATTAAATAAGATAATTAATGTTCATGTGTGTGTGTTTTCAAAATTTAAGGTCTGCATGGTATAAAGGTAAGATTCTTCTTTTAACAGTTCATCCCAACACTGACCTCATGGAGGGTTTCGATTTTGGTGGCAGCCCTCACCCAATTCTGTGTGGCCTTCCTCGTAGAGGTAAATTTCTGTACATCTCTTACACTTTTTTCCGGGAAAATAAACAAATAAAGGGTCTCATTCTCGACAGGTACCTGTTTTTTAGATGGACCGTTTTTGTCTCCCAAAGTGATAGTTATAATGGTTTGTAAGAACTGTGCATGTTCTCTTTGGGGGAAACTCTTGCAGAGTGATTTAAACTTCTCTAAAGGCTGCATAGAAATGTTCTCAGGATCCATGTTTAGCATGGAAGGCAAAACATCAAATTAACTCTAATTTTTGTCTCCCATGAAGGCATCGTAGTGTATTTTTCTAGTATTATCAATAAGCTAGTAGAGACTAGACCAGGTGACCTACAAGCTCTAAAATTCAATGAGACCTTTCAGCGTGAAGAGCTGTCTTCAGAAGGGCTTCCTTAATTAAGAGTGGAAGGAAACCATTGCTCATCTAGTCAATTCTTACTCTTGAAAGTCTTCCCCTATAGTATTTTTCTTCTATTCACTGTCATTAAACGACTTTACCTACTCAGTGAAAGTCCTGGGTATTATTATTATTATTTTAAAAAAAAATTTTTTTTTTCAATGTTTATTTATTTTTGGGACAGAGAGAGACAGAGCATGAACGGGGGAGGGGCAGAGAGAGAGGGAGACACAGAATCGGAAACAGGCTCCAGGCTCCGAGCCATCAGCCCAGAGCCTGACGCGGGGCTCGAACTCACGGACCGCGAGATCGTGACCTGGCTGAAGTCGGATGCTTAACCGACTGCGCCACCCAGGCGCCCCTAGGGTATTATTTTTTAAGGGACAGTTTAAAAAAAAAGATTCATGTATTGTAAATCCCTTGGGAAAAGGGTTCAAACAAATCTATGTAAATATATGTGTGTGTGAGACACATACATCATTGTATACAATGAGTGTAAAATTTCTCATACTCTAAGGAATTCCATTTGAGACTATATATATTTTTATGTATTTTATTTTTTTAAAGTTTTTATTCATTTATTTTGATAGATAGAACATGAGTGGAGGAAAGGCAGAGAGAGATGGGGAGAGAGAGAAAATCCTAAGAAGGCTCTCTGCTGACAGCATAGAGCCCAATGTAGGGCTCGATCTCACAAACTGTGAGATCACTACCTGAGCCAAAAATCAAGAGTCAGATGCTTAACCAACTGAGTAGCCCAGGTGCCTGAGACTATATAGATTTTCAAATAACCCAAAAGGGGAGGAAAAAAAGTCTACATGTATGAAGGTATTCATCGTAGTATTATCTATGGTGGTAAAATTTTATTTTATCTTAATTATAAAACATTTTAATGTTTATTTATTTTTGAGAGAGAGACAGAGTGTGAGCAGGGGAGGGGCAGAGAGGGAAAGAGACACAGAATCGGAAACAGGCTCCAGTCTCTGAGCTGTCAGTACAGAGGCTGATGCGGGCTCGAACTCATGAACCATGAGATCGTGACCTGAGCCAAAGTTGGACGCTTAACCGACTGAGCCACCCAGGCACCCCTATGGTGGTAAAATTTTAGATTCAACCTATATGTTCAAAAGTAGAGATGCTGTTTGTTTAAATCAATCGTTATACACCAATTTAAAAAAATGGTATAGGATCATTAAAAGTGATTATTGAGAAGACTATGGCTACATGTGACAGAAAGTCTAGCATAACCAGAAGTGGAATGCAAACTTTGACCATTCCTATTATAAATGTGTAAACATTGTGAGTGCATGTGAACATAGAAAAAAGAGAACCCTCCCCAAACGGAAAGCAAAACCCATTTGATTTCTAGAGTTCCGCCATTCATTCAACAAACCATCAGGTGGCACCTTGTAAGTGTCCTGTGGCAGGTAGCAGTGATTTTTTTTTTCCTTTTCTTGATTTTGAGTATGTTATTTTGTTATCATTTCAGTCTGGCAGTAAAGTAATTCTCAGTGAATCACCAGCCAGGATTTAACTAGGAAATCTGTAGAAATGAAAGGCTGTAAGCTTTTGGTGTGAACACAAGCACACTGCCTTCTCAAGGGAGAACCAGGGAGCTGCTAGACTTGGTGGGGACAGCAGGGAGTAAAGTTGCCGCAGAAGCAGCTTTAAATAAGTACATCTGAGAGACAGGCCCCGGGCGGGCGGTGAGCACCCTGGCTGCAGGGGAATGTGGAAAGATGGTTTGATTGTTTTCTCCACCTGATTTCTCAGGATTTCATCCTTCAAAATCGAAAGCTCTGGCTATGGATCAAAAAAGAATTTGGATTCTATTCTAAAAGTCAATATAGGCACTGGCAAAAAACGCTGGCAGAAGATTCCACCTGGCCTCCCACAAACAGAACGGATTATTCAGGCGATGGTGAAAATGGATTCTACATCAACCGTGGCTATGAAAGCCCTGAACAGATTCCAAAAGCGAAACTCGAGATGGAAGGCCAAACCACAGAACAGCATTTTTGGACCAGGCTGTAATCAGAATTATTGTCATATGGGGTTAACAGCATCTCCTTGCTCCCAGAAACTAACATATTGTGGAGAGGTGATGACAGTCTACCTCTACCTTTCTTTATCCATCAGAGAATTCAAGGTGCATTTCTCGATGTATTGAACCTTGCAAAAAAGAACCTTAAATATGCTTATTTTGACTGTATCCTCCACTACTGAGGGAAAAACATGAACTTCCTCGATTGTCTTTTTTTTTTTTCCCCTTAATATTGCATACCATTATCCTGGCGGAAATGCCCAAGCTTTTATGGTAGTGAAATTAGTGGTATGAACATCAGTAGAAGGAAAATTCAAGAAGAGTTTGGTCTTTGAAAGTTTCACCAATATATCTTTAATTCACAGACAAATAAAAGAATATGGGGGGAAAAAGTCTTTCTATCAATAAATTATCACAAGTTTACTGAACCTTATATTCACTTGCGAAGACCATTTATTACCTATCTTTTCCCAAGGTCACAAAATTCCTCTTTTTGCTTCTTTTTTATGGCTTTAATAAAGAAAGAAGAACTGAAAATTCCTTCAGAAAAATTAACTCTGTAATAAGTAGAGAATGATGGAGGTGCCTGTTAACTGCCTATAATCTTGGCTTGGGCACAGCTTATATCTAAGCCAACTCCACTGATGTTGGCATCACCCAAAGTATATTGTTTTGGGGGCAGTGAGCCTGAACGTCCGTGGTAGAGCACAAAGATAATGGGATAAATGTTAAAATAAACTTTTCACTTAAAGAAGCAAGACACTTTTATTTATTTTTTGCTATGGACAGATGAAACCCTCAGGTTCTAAGTCAAAAAGTTGGTTCAAACTCAGCATTGCTCATCTTAAAACACAACCCTGGGGAAGGGACTCCTAATGTTTGTGTCTACAGCATGACAAGCATCAGGCTGCTGAACGACCTCAAGTCCCATTTCATCTTTTCATTATTTTACTCAATCATTATGCGCGCACTAATGGCCACAAGAAAAGGTATATCCTCTGTAAATATATTCTGTACGCTATTACCTTTAATATATATCGACCTCTCGGTGACCTTGAGAGGACATACATCTCTAGTGAACCTTTTAAATTAGCTAGTAGTCTTTCCTTGTGACCATAAATTGAGTTTTGCTAATTTAACAGATCTTTAATGGCTCATAGGCAATTAGCTAACCAGTTCTACCCCACGAGCTCCAGTTATGTGCCTAATACTGTGATGGATGCATTCAATAATGCCTTTATAATTCTGTAATCCTTAGAGCTGAAAAAAATGTTTTTAACATTTCAGCAATGCATTGCTGTATATAGTACTACATACTTTGTTATATACACCAGCAGCATAAATGCAAATTCCTATAAAAACAAACCCTTTTTATTTGCATTTTATTTGCTTTTTAACCTTTTCTTGGGTGGATGGCTTTAGAGAGGGATTATTTTAAAACATGTCTAATTTAGTGACTACCAATGAAAGATGAAAAGACAAAGCAGAGCTCTAGATTAAGAAATGTATGCCAACCTAAAATATATGGCAGCTCAGATTTCTTGAACTGGCATATTTGTATTTAGTAATTTGACTTTCAGAATCAGAAGATTCAATTGACACACTATGACATTTAGATAACACAAAAAGATTTTAAAAATCTTTATTCAATAAATGTACAGCCTCCCTTGCCCAGTTTTTCCAACACCCTATTAGTTATCTGATAGATGATGATATTTATTTCATAGATCTTTTTTGTGTGTGTGTGGGGAGGGCACATAATAAAGTTGAACTCTATGCTTGACTTTGCTGAAAGTACTCTCAGAGAAGGGCTTAATAGTCTTGGAAGAAATGTTTGATAAAACCACAATGAGCATGACCCTGGACAGTCTTAAGCTGCCCATCATGAAGAATGGACATTTTTATGGGAAAACTGATGACTTTGTGAGCTTTCCTCTCAGGGTGAACACCACTGGAGCCTGAACACGACCTATGTGGAAAGGTATCATCGAATTCAATTTAGAAGTGCATTTGTGACCCAGCATAGCTAGGACTGCCTTGTGGAGTGGAGGGGTCTAGAATTCATTAGTAAGGTTTGACCTGAAGATCCTCAGGAGGTCCTTTCTGTCTCCACTTCCATTCCCTCTCCCATTGGCTGGCGTGGTAATCCCACCACACCCGAGTCTCCTGCTTTGGGTAAAATTTGCCCTCTGCAGTCATACTTTATTAAAAGGTAAGCACACCCTGGGAAAGGTAACACATTATGCTGATGCCACTCTCACCCTAATTTGACAATATTAGAAAAATTCCTTTCTTTCTTTCTTTTTCTTTTTTCTTTTTTTTTTTTAACTATTACTTGAAAGGAGAGCATAAAAGGAAGAAGAAACTTAATGTAGAATAAAAATGAAGGGGTGACTTTGGATGACGGTATCCGGTAGAAGACACCCACCCCTCCCAGAGGACAAGGGGAGGAAGAGGGAGTTTCGGGGTTATCTGGAAACAGAACTGGTGTCATAAGAAAGGGAACAGATTAGACAGGGAACAAGGAAGAGAGATGGGGTCCCTATCATTGATAGGGTCATAAACCCTATCTATTCATTGAGTCTTCTGTTTAGTTACTTTACCGCGTTCCTTATTCCCTGATCATATCCTCTCACCCCCATTTAATTGAACTTTTTCTTTATTTAATGTCATGCTTTTAATTATGACATAAGAAGGATATCATTGCTTAGCAGTGTGGTTGGTAGGGTAATGTTACAATGTCTGTTACAATCCTAGGGTATCCAGACCTGCATTCACTTTTTTCCACCTGCTGCCAACAGGAATTGCATTGGGAACATATTAAAAAGTAATTTGTTTCATTCCACATATAATCAACAAAATGCAAGAATAAAATCATGACACTCCTTGACTTACAGTAAAAGCCTTAAACAGTAACACGAGATATTGTTTTCTAAAAATGGCATTTCAAACCTACATTTAATGATCTCTTGTTAGGGTTAAAAGGGTCAACCCCCCGAAATACTTCAAAGGAAACAATGTAGCTCCATAGAACAGAACAACCCACTCTTGCTTTTCACTCCTGACACACACTCCTGACAAATGAGTGACTTCCAGGGAAATCTGGATCCCAAACACCAGAGCGAAGGATCCCAGCTCCCATCTGCCCCACCCCCATCTGCACAGGAACTAGGAGCTAGGAGTCCACCCTCAAATGGATTGTGAATCAAAGCTCCTCAAACTGCCTAACCAAATGCTCAATTTCCCAGTTTCTTTTTTTTTTTAATATGAAATTTGTTGTCAAATTGGTTTCCATACAACACCCAGTGCTCATCCCAACAGGTGCCCACCTCAATGCCCATCAATTTCCCAGTTTCTTTTCTGTTCAGTTAGATGTCAATCTCAACAATTTGGGAATCTTAACATTTCTTTTAAAACCACATACAAATGGCTCTTCATTCCTCTGGCAAGTACAAAATAGCCCACCCTCAGGAGAAAGGAAACCAATATTTATGGTAACAGATAAAATATGATGTGATTGTGTTAAGATCTTCCGCTGGCTTGCTCAAAAGGCTACTGCTTCTTTGGTAAGCTGCCACGGCAAATCTCTGCTGGTAGGGAGAAAAATTTCCACGGCTCAATAATGAGATAACATCAGTAAGCAATTTATTAAAGAGACTGCCATCCATCACTGGAATTTTGAACAATAATGATGCATCGAAAATAAGTACTCCCAGTTTTTTTTCCCTCCTCACAATTTCCTTCAGTTCCAATATCTCTTCAGTAAATTGTTAATAGTATTTTGCTCTTTGTCTTTTTGGAAACAAGCCCAGGAGTGAGAAGACACCAGCAGCAGCTGTCACAAACCCAATGGTACTTATTGCTTGGTTGGCCTATAGAGAAATGAGAAACAAAAAACACCACAGCTTATTCTAAGGGCACCTCAGTGTCCTAAATCCAAGCAAACTGAAGACCCTTTCGATGACACCGGAAAAATTTAAAGCTTCATGCCAAACTAAATTCTGTGTGAAGATGAATAAATTTATAATTTTTATAATTATGACAGAGATAGTTAAATACACGTAGGTATACGTTTCTCATATTTTTATGGTCCCCAATAGTTTATAACTCATTATGGCACAATTCCTAATAATCATCATAGTACACCTGGGAGGTAGGGTTACTCCTATTTGGGAAAACTTGGTAAGTTAAGTGATTTGCCTGAGGTCATGCCACCAACATGTTTAGATACGGGTTGAGCCATGAACCATGTGTTTCCCTTCCAAACAATCCCTACCTCCTTAATACACCCTAGTTTGGTCTATACCAGAGTGAATATCATGTGTGTGTTCCTGACTCAAGAATGTCCACTAGAGAAAGAATTCACAGATGTAATCTACACTAAATACTTACATGCTCTTATTTGGTAGCTACAATTTCTCTCTCTTTTTTTTTTAATGATGTTTTTGCCTAGAGTGCACTTTTTTAAAAATTTTTTTTTCAACGTTTATTTTTGGGACAGAGAGAGACAGAGCATGAACGGGGGAGGGGCAGAGAGAGAGGGAGACACAGAATCGGAAACAGGCTCCAGGCTCTGAGCCATCAGCCCAGAGCCTGACGCGGGGCTCGAACTCACGGACCGCAAGATCGTGACCTGGCTGAAGTCGGACGCTTAACCGACTGCGCCACCCAGGCGCCCCTACAATTTCTCTTTTGATAAACTTCAAAAGAGGTCACTACTGATGTTAACTATTGTGTCACAAATTAATTTCTCATGTAGACAAACTAAAATAAACTACTCTCGAGCTCAGTTGTCCATAAAGGAGTTCAGACGTTTGTAGCTTTAAGGGTATTAATCATCATGATGAGGGATCTAATAAATATTCATGATTTTCATGGCACTCAGCTAATACTGCCTTCCATCTGCATGAGTTTGCGTGCAGTTTTATGACCCAAAGGTCATACTCAGATGCTTCAGAGTCATCAGACATTCTGAAAACAACAGTTGTTCTCTGGGATTGAAGAATCAGGCTTTCAAATAAAGCAAAACATTTTCCTCAAATGATTCCAGGGACCAACCCAAATGCTGGAAAGCCTGACCCAGATCACGTTTGAGCATGCCTTCTCTCTAACCCACAGGTCTCCACCACAGAGCCTGCCACCCCCACGTGACTGCCACATAGTGCTGCCTCCCTACCTGCAACTTCCCTGTGGGAACCAGACTGCAAGGGCCTGGCCAATGACAGGAGCATTTACTCCATTTATATCACCCTGCGGTCTGCAGGGACAAGGCCAGGCACCAAAACTCCCTGCTGTGCCACCATCCCCAGCTGCCAGGGAGAGTGGCAGCTGGCGAACAAATGACAAATGCTATTTTACTTTACAATCCTAACTTTATTTGGTTGCTTGATTATTTTACTCATAATTTTTAATTAGTCACCACCTAAGTTATTT